TATCTCTCCGGCACGTACTCGCACGTTCCAAGTACAATACTAAGATCGTCTTAAACCTCTCATCCGCGAAATTCAACGATACAGCTGTCTCGAAACTTGCTCGGGTAATTAGTGCGGTTCCGCGTCCCTTCCATTTAAAATACACCACTCACACTTTGTCACAGAAAACAGTCGCATTTATTTCTCTCCGACTTTAATGATCCTTGTTATATTTATTACGAAGCAGCGCAAAACAAATGGTATAAAATCACGTTAAATATGAATGTTTAAAAGTTATTCGATGATGGGTGATAGGAATTAACGTCAAATTTCCGCTCATAGATTGACCTGATTTCACAAGATTATCGGGAATGTCTCACGAGATTGAAGAGCAGACGTTACGGCGCCTCTTTATATGGTCAATGCACAAGACATTATCGACCATATTATTCTTCTCTTGAAGAAATGATGAGAAGATTACGAGAACTGATATAATACATTGCGATAAATCTATAACTAGGGCCGGAACTATAAATCGTTAATAATCTAAATCGATTTACGGGAGTTGTCAAAAGTGTTTAAAATCAACGGTTCTTAGAAATAATTTTTAAGTAACAGTATTAAAATACCAGAGAAATATAATATCACAGAAATTGATGTTTATCATTTAGCAAACATAACACGGATTTAACGAAACTTTCTGTATGAAGTACATCGTTAAATTTCCAGCTAAATCGGTGAGAGTATCAACGAGTCTCGAGAAGGAGCGGGAAATGTAGTTTTTCATCTGCGTAAGTTTTTGCGAGTTTCGGTAATGAGACGTTGAAAGCGGCCATGTTAAACTGGACGTTAACTGGATCGCGTTTTTTCTACGGACCGGCCGCGCAAACGCCAACTCTTTTCACTGCCGCTATTCACTGTTCTCTTGACATTCTTTTTTATGCACCGTCAATTAAAATAATACCGTTTACGTGCAAAGACTTTTTTTCGACATTATTGTATCGTACAGTAACAGTGTAGTCGTTTCGATTTTGCTATTTAGATTATCGGGAAAGTTCGCGTTTTGGCATTCACTTGTATTGTTTCGTTACAATGGAATTTATATTACAATTTAATACTTGCCTTGAATTGTGTCTCGAATGCGTTATTAATTTCAGGTATAATGATGTAATTAATTGAAGCGCTTGTTTGTTCGGAATTAGCCCAAGAATTTCCGTGTATCTGAATATGTTATCCGTAGCGTGACTCAAATATAACATATAGTATCATATAGTGTTCTGTTGCTTTCCACAACGGCACTTTGGGAGAGTCATAATGTACAATAGATGCTAGACTCCAGTCGTAGCGTAAAGTCAACGTTGAATGGAGAATGCTGGAACATTGTCACTATTGTACTCTGCGCTGATATCTCAAACAAGTTTATTAAACGACTAACTATTCAACTTCTACAATCGCATTAGACGAAAATTACACGATGTGAAAATTATATGACAATATTACGTATAAAATATTGCGTATAAGAATTGTTGAACAGCAGCGATAAATTTTCGGCATGAGAATCTCTTTGCTGTTGATTAATTCTGTGTGTGACTTTTTTAATACATATATATCTTGTGATGCCTTTGAAAAATTTTTCGTCAAAAAATACAGAAATGTGAAATATGATTCTGCAGTGATATTAAACAACACACTCAAATGTAAAATATAAAAATTATTCTATATTTTTGTCGAATATTGAATCGTGGTAACGTCAAAAGATTAAATTTTATATTTTTTACTTATTTTTTTTAAAGCACGTTTATAAAGTTTTGAAATGCAGTATAAGCATGATAAAAAAAGCTATAGAGAGATGTACCATCGAAATTATTCTACATTCAAGGAGAAATCCCTTTCTAAATGGCTGATGCTTTTATAAATCGCGTACCTGAAGTGAGTCGCGTACTTGAGATAATCAAACCACTAATTGCGTAAATTGACATCCCCCGAAGTTCGAAGGGTGCGAAGCAAGGCGAGCTTACAGGAACGAAGGCCACGATGCAAATATCGGGAAAGTTACCGGAATACAAATTGCCGACAAAATGCGAAGTTTCTGATTGCCGCAATTTTGTTTACGCCGCCGCGCCGTCCGCAGACAAGCCATAGTTTACATCTTATAAAATATAAAAGACTCCCATGTATAATTTCAAAGATATTCTGTATAATACATGAATTCTTCCTTGTACTAAAAATATATTTCTTGTTTGATGATCCTTAAAATGATAACGGTATATCTCATTCGTATTTTATTTTGTCTTTTAATTGTAGGGGTTTTCGACAAATCTATTTTTTATTTTCCTTTTGTTTCAAATGCGTTACTTCTATTTGTTTTCTTGGTATCTGCCGAACTCCACTCGCGGCGTTCGTTCCATAGTAAACCTGCTCTTAACAGATCAGCTATTTTTAGTACGGAAAAGGGGAGTAGGATGCTCCAGTTATATGATACACCTTTATTGCTCTCCGGTTAAGGATTGAATTAGATCTTGGCGGAAAAAATTAAAATGAAATCTCTAGCGCTCGAGAGAAATATCCGTCACAACTCTTAATTCGCTTCGATATAAAATCGCAAAGAACGAGAATGGCTTTGGATTTTTCTCGGCCGTTTTGTCTCGGAGTCTGGAAAAGGCGAGGAACGACACACGGCCCGTGATAGAAACGGCAGAAAAGCCGGCTACAAGGTAAATCGATACGAAACCACCACGCAGCAACATCCAACGTTCTGACGACCCTCTGCCTCGTTGTCTGCTATCTCTCGTTCCCTCGCAGCATTTCCTTCTTCTTCTTAAGCTCCCTTCCTGGTCGATTTTTCAATCTCTCTCTCCTTCTCTTTATCTCACTTTGCCTTGGATTTCTTCATTCGCATTACGGTCGATCTACCTTATGCGCGACACGTGCCACGTTCAAGCATGGTTGCACAAAGAGATGTCCCAACTATTGTATCTAACTATTCGTATACGTTTGTATTTTTATTGTACAGTGCGAAATTTCATATATTAGTAACAAAGAAATTTTTATTACATGCAACAGAAAATATCGCAGCAAAGGAAATTATAATATTTTTATTCAAAAAGATATGTACGTTATATTTTGCAAAAGAATGCAATCTTTCGAATATTTTAATGTACAAGATGCATCGCGCAATGCCAGGGTGCATATTCGTAACTAAACAATTTTTTTAAATATTTATAAATATACTTTTAAGCGATAGCTGACGGACCGACAATCCCTAGTCCCCAGTCTGTAAAATATAGATCGTTTAAAATAGGCTTTGTGCGTGCAAGGTGCGGTCGGTTCTAGGTGTCTAAACGATCTCGGGGAAGAAATATTTTACGTGTCACGGAGAACACGTCTCCCGGCTGATACGTGTTCTGCGCGTGTCAACGAGACACGACCGATGAGACATTCCGTCCGCGATGTATTCGGGACTTGTTCGCTGACCGAGTGTCATACCGCATAGTGCCGCATAGTGTAAAACGACGCGGAATATGATGGTATGTGTATTATACCATCATATATTCCACCGTTTCAAACTATGTATATATTATATATATTATATATATTATATATATATATATTATATGTATATATTATATATATATATATTATATAAAATATATATATATATAAAATATATATATGTCGTACTGCATATGTGTACATACGATGTCACCATCGTTCAATTTGAAAGGAAGGATTGCTATTACCTTGGCAAACATATCCTTGATATCTCGAAGAGAAAAGGTCAATAGGATATAGACGAGATCTTGTTCGTGACAGAATTTCACATCGATTTTTACTTAGAGGTCGACGTTATTAATAATCTCAATAATATATTATATTTTACTGTAATATCATAAATATCATAAATATAGAATCCATTCTTCTAATTTTTACTTATACTTATACGTAACTTAATTATTTAGATTCTTCGAAATTTGATTATTTACTATCGTTGATTCAGAGGTGCTCTAACCGTTGTTCAATTTCCGATAACAATAAAGAGACGGTCACAGTTCCAACGTATGTAAAACAAAGATTTAACGTACACAGTTATGAATAATCTATAATATGTGCTCCCAGTTTTTTTAGTTCCTTGATATAAACGAATTAAAATAAAAATTTGCTTTACCAATATCTGCGGGAGATATACGGGCCAAATACTTTTTTTCTTTTAGAACGGAATTAATTTCCATGGAATTAATTTTCTCTGGCGTTTTCCTGGCAGCTTTCGACGACCAAAAAACACCGCGTCGAAGATCATTTGTCTAGTGTTCACTAAATGGGGCTTCCGGTTGATCAAACCGCTTGAAAGCTCCTCGCTGCAGTTCCATGCGGTTGCATTCATTGCACGGTCCACCGATGGTCCCGAATGGTTCTATCTAGCGTGTGCCGTAAGGGTGATCTATACGCCGTGTGCAACAAAACGCCGCGGTTCGTAAAGTTCGAATATGCAAACTTTCCCAACGTCAACATTCGCGAAAGGTTGTTCCGCCTTTATCTATATATCTGCATGCCGTTTATCTATCCGTGGTCGTCGATGATGTAGTTGAAAGCGTACTCTGATTAATAACGTCAACGACGAACTCGATATCCCGCCGTCGTTATGTAATAGATTACATAATAGCAATTAGGTTACCTAATGATCGGACGTCTTTGCATAAAGAGACATTCGATCTCTTTACAGACATCCGAGAAGTATGTTACATTTATTAGATAATTTCATTATTATATAATTTTGCTTTTTAATTAGATTCCCGAATTTGAATTTTTTGGATAATAATGACGTTCTTTATTGTTACGAAATGATTAATATCTTGAAATATGTAAACTAGGAAATACGACTGTGTGCGCGTTCAAAGGCTGCAAAGGTTTAAATCTCTGACACGTATAATCCCCAAGATGTATTTATCGCTGAGAACTAGATTTAGGTGTATTTACCTCGCGAATTCTATCCGCTTTAAAGGGACTTCTTTATGGATTCGCAGGTTGACAGTGCTAGGTGTTCTACTGGGGATTCTCGAGTGGGATCGTAGCGATACCTGCATTCTTTTCTTGTGGGAATACGTGATCGGATATGAAGGTCTTTTCGTGGTCTGCATGGCGGTGGAATTCTCCATCTGCTTCCTGGCGACGAGGGGCAGCATCCTGGACACAACGGCGAGAGCGCCGATGCAGTACGTCCTTTACTTCCGACTATGTGAGTATCTTTATCTTGTATATCTACTGTTAATCCAATGTCTACATCTCGATCGAAGCGGCAAGCGGAATAAGAAGAAATAAAACTCGTAACAGCGTTTCCCTAAAACCGCGTTTCGGGAGCAATGCATTTTACCCTAGAGAGTACATGAACTTTTTACGATTTTATTCCATGTTTTTTTTTTAATCTTGATTTTTACGCTTGTCTTTTTCTGCAACAAAAGATTCCAAAAAGAAAAAAAAGATATGACATATCAGAAATAGCAAAAACGCTTCGTCATATTTCATGCGATACGAATCTTTTTTAATCTCTCGCGATCAGTATATCTATTCTCGATATGCCGATGTTGCCTATCGGGAATATTATTAAACTTTCATGGACCAATATTGAGAAACCGTCAACATGAAACATATTGATGAAATGGTTTGATGACAATCATAATATTTGTCGTGCGCTACACGTTATATATAACATCCCCTGTTGTTGTGTATTATATGCAAACGTCTAACACGTTTTAATTTTTTGCTACTAGCGCTTTTTCATTTTAATTCTAATTTTATATCCGAGTATTTTTCGCCTTTTTAAGGAATTTCCACGTTTGCCTGTTACGAGAGCTGTTTTGACTTATGTACACATTAAAATACGGAGTGCCCTTATTTTTACTTAAGCGCCTTTTCGCTCTCCGTGATTTACTTTTCATCGCAGTATCGTTAAATTTCGCGGAATGAACTCGCGATTCGATTATAATTCAACGTCGGATGATGTAAATGGAGTGACGCGAAATATTAAGTTCTAGGAAGCCGAATTAATTGACCAATTACTTTTCTCGTCATCGCATTTTATGTATAATTTTGAACATAACTTAAACTTATATTTAATCTAAAGAAATATCATCGTCACATTGATTTCTAATGACAATATCTTTGAAAAATTTAAATTAAATAAAATTAATCGACTCATTTGTTACAAATTATAAATGTAAGGTATAAGGCCTGAAACAACGTTTTCTATTTTTTTTCCACGTGCTTAATTCTTTGTAGATTTCTTTATCTGGTAGTCTTGATACGGGTTTCAACTTTTATTAACGTTCTCAGTCGGTGCACCGACGAGCAGAAGTTTGTTTGGTTCACTCAGGGCCATCGATCGGTGAGGACCTTGGTAAGGATTGAAACCCGTATCGAGAATAAAGAAATCTACCGCACGTACGAAGAATTATAAGTTATACATGAGAGAAGAAGAAAAGGTTGAAGTTTTATCACGCGGTGTTTTATCACGCTTAGGTTTAAATAGACCTTATATCTTTATTGAATTTAAACTTTTTGTGGCTGAAGCTTTAAAAAGAACTTAATTGCGGATATTTAGTGTTGAATATTATAGAATTTTTGCTCGAGGAACGTACAAGTAAATAACAAAATGTAGCTATTTCTCCTACTATCTCATTAAAATTCAACGTGACAACGGTGGTGTACCAGATATTTCGAGTCCATTTGTTAATCCTATGCGGTGATTCGAAAGCATTTCAAATCGACAGTCGCGGTTATTGTCGCAACTGGGTCAACTGTATTTGTTTCGCCGGCGGAAACGCGCTAGCCACCCCCTCGGTTGTACGTTTCCGCTTCGGAAGGCGAGCGCTGATACCCGCTATTGTAAGCTTCGCGACATCGAAGAAAGCTTTTGTGAGTTTGCATGTCATCGATTTCTTCAATCTTTCTATCCAACGTGATGTCGACGTGACAAGCGTACTTTCTCATTATTATAAAAAGGCTTTTGCGTAAGCTAAAACGACGTATAGAAAAGCGCATAATAACGAGAGATAATAGCGGGGAGATAATATTTTAAAATTTCCTGTTCTTTACAACCTTCTTTCGTTTTTATTTGAGAAAATTCTCCCGCGTACCGATTAATTAAGAGAGTTATTTCGCTCGGATCGTTGCATCGGGGGTGGAAGAGAAAATGAGATTATTATGACGACATGGGAGTTTTACGGCGGTTTCTTTTCAGTCTTGGTACTGGTCGAGACCGGATGGCTGTGCGCAGGTGTTACTTGGCTAGTGCATTATTATCAAACCTGTCCAGTGGACCAAGCTAAGGATGTTATGCTAGGTAAATTCGATAACTGCGTTTTTCCGTAACAGTGTTAAGAATTTATCGTATAACTGTCCGTAGATAGATCTATATCATGAGGCAATGTGAGAATAAAACTGTGTCTTTATGAACTAGTCAAACAGTTAACAATTGAGATTGATAATTCGCGTATTTAACTTTTACTTACAAATGAATAAGTTTAAAATTTGAAATTAAATAGGAAGATATATTCAAATAAAATATTATTATCAAATAACTTGAAAATATAGATATTACAAATATATGCCTATTTCTTTCGGCAACGGTTATTAACAAATATGTTCACCTTTTTCCTGTGTTATTTTGCAAAAATTAACATTCGACTGTAAAGCAAACATGTCGCCAAACGCGAAATCGATTTGAATTGCGCTGAACAGGTTTGGTGATATCGAATTGGTGCTTGCTGGCGTTGATGATGGTGACCATTTGGTGCACATACGATGCCGCTGGCAGGTCCTGGGTGAAGATGAAGAAGTATCAGCGCAGCATGAGGGAGGCAGAATCGAGGGGGGCAAGATTGCATTACAAACGCAGCGGCAGCAGAAGTCGAAATTGGCGTCAACGGTAAGTTGTCTCATTGGAATACGAAAATGTTTCGCAATTTCTTTTTCACATTTTGCCCATTGCGCTTTGTCCAGCGCTTTAGCTTCGAGCATAACTTATTCTTTTCTCAATTTTGCAAGAATTTCTTTCACGACGTTCTCTTTGCATTTTTATGCGCATTGTAATTACAAACTGCATAAAATTAAGCATTCCACATTCTCACGTTTTTTTCTGAAAAGAGACAAGAAACGATCTCTCATATTTCTATCTTTATTTTCAATGTCAGGCAAACGTAGTTTAATATTGAATCTGGCTTTATTAATACAAATAAAACTTGAGAAAACGGACAGAGTAAGATTATTTTGCGGAAAATAGCTCTCTTGGAAAATGTGCTCCCCTTTCTAAATGCATCCAAGCAGTGCTGCGATTTTTTTCAACGTGATGGCCGTTTTTTGTCGTGCATTCATCTTTTACGGTCCCACGTACTCACGTACTGTCGCGAAATTTTTTAGCGTGCAGCTTTTTACGGCTGCTTGGATTTACGCGTTAGCGTTCTTGGTAGAATATCCGAATGTTGTAAACACACGATGTACACATCTCGTGTTGCAGAAAAGTTATACGTGCCTACCAGGACAGCTGGGACAATAGGTGCAGATTGTTGTTCTGCTGCATGGGTAATTCCGACCGCAATCGAGTGAGTAGCATGAACAAATTAAATTTAAAAGAGAAGGTATCCAGGAAAATAAATCTTTATGTCTAATATAGAAATATGTAGGTCTCTAGAAAGACATTTTGTATAAGAATGCATTTCTCAAAACTATTATTATTGATATATAAAAGTTGTAGATAATCTGAAAATAAATCTGTTGAAAATAGTAAATAATTTTGAACATATTTTTTATTGAATGTTAATTTAAGAAAATAAAAAAGAATTTAATTTTAAGATTAAATAGAGAAAATTGAATTTAGAAAGTTGAATAGAGATCACAGAGAAAGCACGTGTGCGGTGCAAAGGTTAAATTGAATTTTGCCGAAAGAAAAATTATTTTGATTTTCAACAAAGAATCGTGCGTTGTATCGCGAATATTTTGACAGGAAGAACGATGTGTTCGCTGTTCGCAGAACTCGTTCGCCGACATCGCCCGGTTGCTGAGCGACTTCTTCCGCGACCTGGACGTGGTGCCATCGGACGTGGTAGCTGGTCTGGTGCTGCTCAGAAAATTTCAAAAGATCGAGCGCGAGTTGATAGTTAAGCAGCGCAAGAACGACACGTACGAGTTCCTGTCGGGAGTGCCGGTCACTCCGCGCACAAAGTTCCTGTCCCTGACGGAAGACGGAGACTTGGGCCACTTCCAGTTGGCCATCCATTATATGCACTTTGCCCTCGCCGCCTACGGTTGGCCCATGTTTCTCATCGATCCCTCCACCAAAATCTGCCAGTTATGCACCAGGTAATTCCGAGGCTCGAAGCTTGCCATATTATCGCTTAATATGCGTTCTCCAGGTAATTATAACAAAGTATTACAATCGGAATATCACCGACAGGCAAAATTTTTAACTTTAAAAGATTAAAAGCGAATTTTTTTTGCAACATAGATTTGTTACGGATTTACGTTGCATACAAAATATTTTACAGAACAAAAAATACTCTATTCTCGATTATCTTAGGATATTCCATTCTTTGCGTTTGAGTATTCATAAATTCGTTTTACTTCTCATATCTCGTAACGCTATAGAACTCATCTTGTACAGGTATATTGTAAATTTTGAATTTATTGCGACGTAAGTCTATAGGAAAACTTTGACATAGGAAAATATCGTGAAACGGAGCTAACAAGAAAGTGCGTAAGAGAAGAAAAGTTGAAGGATATTAAAGTCAAAAGTCAATACATTGAAATACGAATAACTGCGAGACGTAACGGTAACGTTGTAGAATAAAACGAAACAGGTGCATAACTTATAACTTAGTTGATCGCGACAGGTTGTCAATTTAAAAGGTACTGTATGCCGTTATATTTTTCGTTGTGTGTCAGTATTTTCGGGTATATACAGGCCTGTGACACGCCTGTTTTCTCTCCGTGACACCTCATCCGCGACTACATAGATACATTGGCCACGACGTCGCCTTCGCTTTATCTTGTTTATCTTCTCCTCCACGCGGTGCAGATTGCAATGTTGCCACTGCCTTCCGTGCGGCTCTCATCACGAGGACATCCCAACGATCATCGAGGACAATTGCTGCCGATGCAATTACGCCGCCATGAGCAAAATGCTCGACTTTGGGGAGATCGAAGTCGTCTATACGACCTTTCACGTTGACGTTGGCGAGACGCCGTTCTACGTCGCGCTCGATTACACCAAGAGAAAGGTTTGTCGCTGTCGGCCGCGGTTTATCGTTCGTTAATCGTCGCGAAGCTGCATTAGCTCTTTAAACGAAGAGTTCGAGATTTATCCTCTATCGATAGCCAGATTAATTTGCGGTAAAGCATGCTTGATAGAATCAGCTAGATTAGAATAAGATTTTAATTGTGAACCGGAGAATTAATCATTTTAGAATCAGCTAGATTAGAATAAGATTTTAATTGTGAACCGGAGAATTAATCATTTTCCTCAACAGCAATAGAATTAATTAATTAACGAATTTCTCGGTTTTTTATATCAATATTAACGTTATCAATCTATTATATTATTTTTTACTGTTTTAACATCTCGGAGACTTTATATTTTTCTTCGGAGTTATTACCGACTTCCTTATTTTCTTTTTCTATCTCTTCCTTTTCAATCACGCGTTTCTTTTACACGTATATATAGATCGTGATCAGTATACGAGGGACCTTAAGCATGAAGGACGTGCTGACGGACTTGAACGCCGAGGGCGAAGTGTTGCCTTTGTCGCCGCCGAGGGAGGACTGGTTCGGACACAAGGGGATGGTGCAGACCGCCGAATATATACGCAAGAAGCTGCTGGAGGAGGACATTATCGGGCGTGCTCGCGCAAAGGTAAGCATATTATGTGCAAATGAGTCGTGCCCCGTCGCTCGTTATCGAAACAGACGATAGCCCCGAAGTGTTATCGACGTTACCTGGTTATTTGCATGATAACCGATAACGGAATACAAGCGCAACAGTGAATATAAGCGCAAATTTTAGCATATATATATAACAAAATACATATTGAAAATTTTACGTTTAATTTACGTTTAAAAAAAAGCTCGAAGTTTGCATTTGCTTCGGACCTTAATAGCTTCCTCTTTTTTTTTTTTTACACGATAAAAAGTAAACCGCTCTTTCTCATCGATTGAAGTCTTGAATATACATTGCGAAAATTTACCATCCGGGTCATCCACACGTTTTTGCTTGCGGCAAAATGTGCCGGTAACCTTTTCATCGCGGATTTAACCCGCCAACGTATTGTTGAGTGTATTTCATTTCGGTTTAATTAAATCTTTCGGTTTCGTACGTTACGTAAACGTACCAAATGAATAAACAATCCAGTTGCGCGTGTACACTGAATTTATTTATTGCGATAAAAAATTTGTCGAGAATAGACAGAGACAAAACTAAATATTTAAAATAATCTAAAATTGTGTGGCAATCTATGTTTAGGTTTTAGTAAAAACATATCGAAACGTAAAATGTTCGTATTTTTATCCGTTGTATTTTTCGTATATAAAATTCAATTTTGGAGATACTCCGAACATTCGTATTCAATATATATTTTTGTAATTGGACTTCCCTAGAGATCCTAGAAAGAGTTTATACGCCAGAATTAATTAAGAACATTTTGAGATTAATTAAAAAGAGGATTTGGAATTTTTGTCGAATTTTGCCGCAGAATTCCTCTAGGGGTACGCATCAATTTGGGCTGATCTTGGTGGGACACTCGTTGGGTGCTGGCACGGCGGCGATCCTCGCGATCCTGCTGAAGCAGGATTACCCGGACCTGATGTGCTTCTCATTCGGGCCACCCGGTGGACTGTTGAGTATGCCTGCCCAGCAGTACACGCAGGAATTCATTACCTCGGTGGTGGTGGGCAAGGACGTAGTACCGAGAATCGGGCTTCGACAGATGGAAAGTCTGAGGGCGGACCTCATCAACGCTATAAAGAGAAGCGTCGATCCTAAGGTAACAAAATAGAAAGACTCTCAAGTTGGATCAACATTTGTCACGCCTGGATCGATAGTTGAGCACAGTCGGCTTGCCCGCGAATTATTCCAGTGGAAGACAATAGCGTGCTCGGTGATGTGCTGCGGCTGCGGGTCGACACCCACGTCGGCGGCCAACCTGGAGGCCGGTGGTTGCATCAGCGAATACCAGCGGGACAAGGACCGGGCGCGCGCACAGACCATAGTACCCAGCGATTCCAGCATCGCTCTGACTCTGCACAGGCCCCTATATCCGCCAGGACGGATCATACACGTGGTGCGACATCATCCGAACAAGGGCGAGTGAGTACCAGCTAATAATTGTATTTCTCTTCGTATCTAAAATAGAAGATCTCGAATACTTCGTAAAATTATTTATCCCATGATTGGATTGCACCGTCATTAATCACTTTGAGATTCGCTCATTTAAAATTAAATACTTCTGTTAACAATAGTATAACGATACATGAGAAAATCGTAATACTTAATATCCGAATAATACATTTTTAGCTCAAGTTGTTTACTTTTTTATTTAACATCACGCCGTTATATTTTTCCATTATAATAAAATTAACTCTATTGGTGCTAAAAGAATGATTACGCTAAAGCTAAATCGTTTCCTTTCTGCATCGCGCGAGACAAGTTCGATCTCGCTCCGTCGAGTCGGAAAAAATGAAAAGTTAATCGCGCCTTCTTTTTTTAGGCAGAAGTATGAGACGCATTGGAGGTATGTCTATCAGATAATTTTTACATTTTCAGGACTACTGCTCTGAGTTGTTGCATTTTGGAGATATTGCCCGCATGCGTCTATTGGGCCTATATCCTATATTTATCACGTAGGATATTACTCCTTATCGCTATCTTTCGATATCAGAATTTCGTTCCGTAATGGTTTTTACCTATAATATCCCGAGAAAAATGTATGCCCACATATATCGGAATTTTATTTCTTGTATAAATCGCTTAAATCCTGGTGTAACAAAATTATGATCCTTATGTAACATGAAATACGAACTACATAAAATTTTGCAATAGATTTTATAAGACCAATGTTAGTTTTTAATAAATTTAAGAAGAAAAATTATATTAAATTAGAAATTTATAATACAGTTTAATTTACAACGGTGATTGTTAAGAAAAAAGGATTCTTTCTTTTTTCGAGAATTTATATACATCTTCCTCGGGATATACAATGCATATGCATGATTAGAATATTCCACACGGATGATATACGCCAAGGGAAGTGGTTTGGTAATTTTTGATAGCTTTAATATATCTATCATGATTCATTAGGCAATTTAATACTTATAGTCCTTTGATTACAGTCCTTATGTGGATCGAGCTGCATGCTTCCACATCGCAAATTATCTCTTGTAGGAAACAAATTAGCACACGCATGACATCTTATTTTATTTATTATAATAAAATTCAAGGTACAATAATACATAATCTAACGTATAGCAGAATAAGGTATCTATCAGAAGAGTTTTGCTAAAGATTTCTATTACGAATACTTATTTCAACAGAATCAGTAAAAGTGATTTTTATTTTTACTACCCATCCTCGAAATTGATATAAGTGTTTAAAACTAACTTCCATAACATGATTGCTTTAAAAATATTAAATTCAGTTCTCCAACATTCTAAACGAAAAATTTAATTTCTATAGCGAGCACAAAAATGTAAATGTGAAACATTCTTTATTATTAATTTATGCTGCTGATATATGAATGAAAGATAAAAGAATTTCTCTGCTTCATCAAGGAGTAATTACAATATTTAAAAAGAACTCGTATAACAGAAATAAATGATATATCAATCATAGTCTCATACGAATTTAGGGGATTCGCGGTTGGCTCAAAGGCGTTCTTTCACATTGAATTCCAGACAAGTGTTGAACAAGCACGACCCGGTGTACCAGGCATTGTGGGCCAGTCCATGCGATTTCGACGAGGTGCTGATCAGCCCGGTGATGATACAGGACCACATGCCGGATAACATGTTACGCGCGTTGAACAAGGTAAGCAGGGACGCGAGCGTCGTGCGACAGCAAGTAAAACGGTCGCAGACACCACTGAGCCGAACCCCGTCGGTGAAACCGGGCCATTACGAACCCTTAGAAGAGACCGCCGATGGGTCCGATATCCCCAACGAGGTGGTCCAGCGCGATCGGACGACCAAGACCGTAGATCAGTCCGCTAACGGTGTTGATCGCGCGCGCATTTGCCCGGGTGTCGATTGCACGTCGATCGTCGTCGACGTGGAGGTGCACGAGCGCAAAGAGACGCTGCCAGAATCGCGTTGACAACCGGAGATTCGTCCTCTCCGCAAGTCGCACGCGGATATGAGATATCCCGCAAGTCACGATCTTAATTTTAACGACAAATCCTCCTTTCGATCCGTTACCGAAATTAAATTCGCGATTCGCGGGATAATCGCGCGTATCGAGGGACCTCACGTAATTTCAGATGTCTTCGATTAGGACACTCAATGAGTGACAGACTTGTGCGGAATCGCTCGTTAGTTTATAGCTGGTAGAAAACTTATTTATTGTTTCGTTGGTTGCAGACAAAAAAGAAACATCGAGGCATTTTCTATGCGTGATTATTTATTTTTGATTTTATACTTGAAGTAGCGTAGAGCGTAGCTGTAGATTTGGACAATTTGTCTAGTGTAATTTATTTTGTTGGTATTGGGTTCGCTATCGTGATTACTGAATGGACTCACAATTAGTCGCTTTCGTTATCGCGGATACCTTAATTATTTCGACGATATTGCTACTTGGTGCAACGTGCGTTCGTTGAATATTCTTGTACTTATTACTCCTAACATCCGCCTAAGTAGAGTAACACGACTGACGTGCATGCCCTCGTACATCACATGACATTATCGTTCTATGTATGTCGAATAGTGGCCAACCAGCGGCATATGAATACGCTATCGTTTGCACGCGATACCCTTACATGAAAAACACTAATTTTACGTACGAATTATTTTATATCACACCAACGGTTACAATTCAATTGATAATTGTAGAAAAAGAAACTAAATTTCTTTTATAGAATATAAATTGTATTCTATTTTTAGATATATACGTATAGTAGAGTGCTAAAAATAGATTGCATTTCAGTAATATTTGTTGTAGGCGAATGTCATTATGATACATGCAAATAATTATTATTCAATTAATTACTTAATAATATAATTTAATTACAAGACTATTAGTTATAAAGAATTATTTATTCCTAATAATTTTCTTTTTTTTATGATATATGACACACACAGTTACAGTTTTATAATATATTTTTATAATTAATTTAATTTGATATACATTAAGCGAAAGTTGGCCGCTGGTTCGTTTGTTAAAGGAAAGATGCGCATTATTCCCTACGTTTCTCGTACGAGATCGATTTGTATTCTTCGTCACTTTCACTCTTTCTCCGTTGTTTTCCTCTTTTGCTTATTGCACGCAAAACGACTAAGATCTACTAAAGTACAAATTGAAAACTAAAGGCACATGTATGTACGCTTTTGTAAGAACAATATTTCGTATTTTCGTCGCGCATTTACCGTTGAAAATGATTGCTCAACTTTATATAATTTTTATCCATTTTGAAAATCGTATATGAAATTTCAAAGCAATGTGACATTCGGACGTATTTAGCGCTAAATACGCGATGATAATGTGGATCAATATATTTTTTACGACGTCCACTGCGAAAAATTCAGACGAAAGTAAATTGAAGGTTTTACACTTTTGTCGTTTTGTGAATGCATACGATTTCTGTAACAACTTTGTTATTCTGTATAATTTGCGATGTATGTTTTTTTAAATTAATACAATATTTTCTGCCACAGGAACAACGTGGTTTATTTATCGAAGTTTTTTAATAGCTTTTTAATTCTTGACATTGACGTATCGACGTTGACGACTCGCTTGGAATTAAAAACAAGATATAAAATAAAAAAATTCTGAAAAAATATATAAATGAAATTATATATTAATTTTATATATACATGTATGAAATATTCGTATATATTTTAGCGTCTTTTTAGCGTCGTAAAGCATTGAGCATTATTAATAACACTCGATTTGCGCCCATTAGTTATTTATTGGTTTAAGTCGCGTCACGTAGTCGCTATTTGTCATTCTGCAATTCACTTGTTTTATTAATATGATTACAACTTTTATGCTATATTTCTTTACTGTAGTCAGCTTTGTAATGTACTTTGTTCTGCCAATATTAAATCGTAATTTTGTACGTTTAGCGATAAATACGCATGGACTTGATTAAACATGTTTTAGTTTTTCAAACAAGTGTAAAGTGTTTATTGGAAAAGAAGAATTTGTGTAATAAACCGCCGAAAGAACAAATTGAAATTAACGTGACTCAGTATTGGGGTGTTCGATTGTTCTAAGCAAGTTTAAATTGAAATTCCGGCAGGAAAAGCAGATACGATCTTCGCGTTATACTGATAAAACTCGAACAGCCGTAATTTAGCCCGAAATAGAATCGAGAAGTTAAATTATAACAAAGTCAGGCAATTAAATCGCGCGAACGTCACAACAACAAATCTCTTTTATCACGTTATCATCATCTTAAACCTACAATGAGAGGGACGTTGATGTTTAGCTTGATCCTAATCGAGCCCTAATTGCTCATCAGCTTGATTAGCTAGCGACTGGCGTTTTCAGAAAAAGAAAAGGAGAAGTGTAATCGCGAGATTGTTAATAGAACCGCTGTATTCCGGGGCAAATACGAGAAACGGTTATTACTTAATTAGTTTGCCGAGGTTCGACGGACGTAGGACGTAGCAATCCCCCACTGACATCCAGCGTTTAAATTTCTCATCTTTGGACAAATTTAGTACCTTAATTACAAAACCGCATTCCGCGAGACCTTTTCAAAACGTATTTGGAAGAACCCGTCGCGAAAAATCGGCCGGCCTTAAGCGATTGAGAGCGGTTGGAGATCAGCGCAAAGTGGGTGGCTGAGGGTGCATGGCTGCGATGTGGATTAGGTGTTGGCGTGCAGAGATCGGGGCTGCGCAGAAGCGGGGGCAGCGACGGCGACGGGGGCCGATCCTAGTGCAGCCATCGCGGTGATAGACACGACGGCTATCGAGTTCAGGGGCCCACCCCTCGATCATCACCCGAGCATCGTGGCGCTCCACCATCGGGGTACACCGGACGCCCGCGCTACCGCACCCTCCTCGCGCCACGACACAAGGTACTTGGACGGGGAACTTGATCCAGGGCTCGAGCGCCTCGCGTAGCGAAATGTCGTAAATGATCCCCAGGATTATTCCCCGAGAATTTTCGAACGTCCAGAATTGATCCGTGTGCAAACGAGGATAAATGTGCCCGAGGCATCTCTCTCTCGGGGGTATTTTTAACGTTCCATTTTTCCTCTCTCGATCTCTGTCGCGTCATTTTATCCGCGATATGTCATAAAGGACAAATCATTCTTCATTACATTCCAAAGAAAGATATCTATTACACACTTGCGACACGAACTTTAATTTTATAAAACAATGTGGTAGATTTAATTAATTAAAATGTCATATTTTTTTCTCTTTGCTAGGAAGTATATACATTTTTACACATATAGAAATACGATATATTTTAAGACTCAATTTTCATAATTGTTGCTCGATACGATATTATTTCACGAAAACCTCAAGGTACTTTCTGCTCGGAGCATATTAAAATTAAATATTTTACGAATACCGTGGAATCGAACTGAGATATCTTACGGATATTAGATTAAAATTGTGACGTTCTGTGGTCAATGGGATTAAACCAGAATATATTCCGTGGATATCGCGTGCTACATGAGACAAGTTCGATTCGCGTCATCGTCCACCGGGAATTTTGATCTATACACAAAACATTAATCGAATTGAAATATCCGAGCCTAGAGTTCGTCGGTCCGTCGGTCGATTTCGGGACGAGTTTGATTATTCGATCGCGCTCCGGTAAAGGGGTAAGCACTTCCTGACGCAATGTTGATCGTCCATATAGATCGGGACCGGTATCACGTAAACGCACAATATATCTACATGCACACACGCATACACACGTAAATGCATGCGCATCATGCACTGATTGATGATATCGTCTTCATTGTGCACTCGGCACTCGACTAGAGTCGATTGGCCTGATTGATTCTAGACTAGATTTTGGCGAGAGTATCGTCTGGTTTGCATGCTGGCAACTAATGATCGAAACAGGTGTGATTGACAACAGTAGGAAGTAGCGTCGAGATTGATGTTTGCAAGAATAACTGTCATAGGGGATGATACACGAATTAAGATAATCCATTATATTCAGTAATGTGCAAGACAGGGTTTTATCGCGCAAGTATAAGTTTATCACGAGCTTTAACACGGAAAAGGACGATTGCCAGTAAGATCTTACTCTTACAATGTAAATGCGAAAGACAGCTTTTATCTATTAATTTCTATAATCTATATAAAAATAATTTCCGTAATCTACGTAAAAGAATTGTCATTTTTTAATGGAAGATCCTTTTTCGTACAATCAGAAATATATACCGTAAAAATACAAAGATGAAAAAATATACTGCCAGTAATAATACGATATATGATATAACGTGCGGGAAGAAATCTAATCCTCTTGTCAAGTATCAAAGGTATAAAGAGCTTCTAAATGCTTTTATCAAGTATCAAAGATATACAGAGTTTCTCTAAACGCTCGTTTATTCCTTTGCGAAAAAATTTCGCCATGAATCTATAAAATCTACAAAAGTATAAAAAATTCTAAGAATTCGTGCAACACATCTTTCAAAAAATGAAGTCAAAGCAGATTCATAGGGTGAATAGCGACGCTTTGAATGTTGACTGAGTAAAGAAAGCTCGGATTAAATCTTTTCAAAAAGGAGCTTCGCTGACGCGACGTGAAAGATTAACTCGATTGCCGCGGTAAAAGAGAAATGGGAGTAACGCGGCAATTCTTGTCGAGCCGCGAGCGGAGAGCGTAAACGCGCCAGAATTGTTTGACGCGCATTCTTCCGCGCGAGGAGAAAAAGAAGAGAGTCGAGATTGCGCGATTGAAAGAATTTACGCTCGACGGGACGAGGAATAAATATCCCGTTTTCCGGATTTCCGTTTTGCGGCTTTATATCGGCGTATCCGCCTTCTCATTATCGGCGTTAAATATTTTCGCGCGGTTACTTCTGACTCTATTACGCAAATTGACCGTTCATCGTTGATTTGCGGTTGAAACGCGGATATTGGCCCTCTCCGATGCGATGGGCATGGGAAAATGTCGCAAGCGGAATTGCTCTCGCAAGTTTCAAGAAAAATCTTGATGAATATGATCAATCTTGATAAATCTTGATAAAGGTATCTGTGCTTGGTTTAAAAATTTCTCTCGTGGAAGATATAGTAGATGCGGCAGAGTATTTAGACGATAAATTAACGTAATAAAAGAGTGAAAATATTTATTGAAAACTATTATTAAAACGGGTCTAAAGTATATTGTATAATGATTCAAGATCAATGAAGATCCATATAGGTGTCGACAAATTATAGGTACAAAATTTGAACGTTAGAATTGCGACGTAGGTTCGAAAATAGAAAAAAAATCTTATGAGTGTCGCTTATAATTAAGTTTACGTAAGTAATGAGCTAATTCACACAAGTCAAAGATGGATTTTTTTTTTGCAAATCTCAAGTAAACTTTATTTAAGTAAGATATCTTAAGAGAGAACATTAAGAGACTTACACCTACAAAGATATCAACGTAGAAAATTGAACTAGCAAACCGACGAATCCTTGTTCTTTTTCCACGAGAAGTAACTTCGTTTCAATCTTCACGTGACGTTTAATTATCCAAGGCTAGCCAAGGCAAAAAACGAAAACGGGAGAAACTTAACGAGACGTTGGCCGAGGAAGAAACCGATCTCGAGAAATTCGCGGACGCGATTTGTACCTGTAGTTTCGCGAACCTACTCTGTAACGAGATAGACACGACTATATACCGCCTACGTCGTGGCTCGCGTCGTGCCAGGTTGTGACGACTCTGGGGCCGGCGAAGCCGCAGCGGCTGGCGTCCTCGACGGAGGGGTCGTCGGAGGCGGCGCGCGACCACCAGACGATCGAGGTCCACGAGCTGGAGCTGCAGGAGCAGGAGATGCGGGCCCTGCTGTCGCCATCCAGCCCGTCCAGGTATCAATTGGGCCACCTAGCCGGCACGCCGCCGCACCGGCTCTGCCTGGAGACGAGCTTCACGTCGCTGCAGAGCCCGACGGACATACCGCAGGCCGGTCGCGAGCTCAGCGTGGACTCCCGGGGTATCCCGTGGGAGTACGTCAGCCTCGCCAGTGAGCTGCTCCACACGCCCCGGCCGGAAGACGGCAAACCGTAAGGACGATGAACCACACGCACTTTGAACCCTTCGCGGTCCGGCAGCGCGAATAATCGAAATCGATGTAATGTAATGCTAGATGTAATGGTGCTAGAAATAGTCTTTAAAATTTCTTTTTTTTGACCAAAAACATTTTTTTTATATTTCGAACCGCGAAAGATTAGTATCAAGACAAAAGAAGGGAGGGAACCCCGAAGAGGAGGCCGATAGCGGCGATAGAAGTGATGACGTTGAACTCTGACCACCTAGTGCCAGCAACACTACCCTTATTGCCAGACTATCTAAAGAAAATGCGATTGCTGACCCGAAATTCTTGATTTTATTAGAATCCACGCGTTAATCGAGATATCTCAATGACGCAAAGGCAAAGTAGATTTTTATGAGAAAGCGTAGCGAATTCTGAGGAATATTTGAATGAATGGTGGAAGAATCGTTGTATTACAGGTATCATTGATCAGAAAGGTATCAAGGAATCCAAAAGGATGAATCAATCATCGCACCCGCTTTCTTCACTCAGAATATCTTAAGCAATTTCATTTCACGCTCTCGTTCACTCTCGCTTCTCTCGCTTAGATCCGAATCCTCACCGTGCTATATGATATCCGTGCACCTCAAAGTTATCGTCTCGCACCGATATACGATTGAATCATATAAAAGATCACAGTCGCGCAGGAAGTGTTCCCGAACGACACAAGGTCCGAAGGAGACGTTTGTGTCGTCCGGATCTTGAAATCCGCAAACGAAGTTTCGGTAGCTCGATGGTGAAATGATCGAGGTTTTCCCTTCGCGGGTGAAACTCACCCCTTTCTTTTTCTTTTGCGCGAAGACCGAGCCGTTGGGACGACCCGACGCGCACCGCACCCTTGGCCACGCCGGAGACGCTGTCGGAGGCGTCGACGAGCAGTCCGCCGTCGCCGGAAGTGCCGGCGCCCAGGCCGATGCGACGCACCCCCAAGATCCCGGGAAACTTGTCGACGGCGGCGGACGACCTGAAGAATAATCTGCACTACGCGATGCTCTCGGCGAAGAACTACTTCCTGAGGACGGGGGAGCACGCGGGGGGCAGCAACAACGGCAGCAGCAGCGGCAACAGCGAGGCGAGTTACGAGAGCGCCAGGAGCCTGGCCGCCGCCGGTCTTCCGCCGCCGGTCCCGAGACGACGGGACTCCGTTATCGTTAGGAGGTGGATACCTTTGTCTATAAAAAAGTTTGGACGAAAGGAAAAATTTAACTTGCCTATATAAAGAAGAGATTTCTGAATGATATAACGCGAATCACATTCGCATAAAAATTCGCTTTTAATTCCGAGATAGGGCTGATCGTTCTGTGTCTAAGTATTATATTGAAGTTAGTGAGCTACCGTTTATTCTATAATTCTTGAACTTTCTTTCACAAGAACTTGTATATATTCTATAAATATATATGATATATATTTCAGAGAACAACGGACGTGCACAGCAGCGTGTTGCAGGGACGATTTGTCGGAGAACTCGTCGACCCACACGTCGTCGCACTCCTCGAGAGTCTCCCATACCTCGCATCGCGTCCAGGTGGAGTTCAACGAGGAGGAGAATAACACCAACGGGTCCAGCTTGGATTTCTACGAGGCGAAGGTAGAGGTCAATTTATCTTTCAATAAGAAATAAATTTCGATCATCCGCAATCGTGTCTTCGTGTCTTCAGGGTTCCTGCGGCCAGCGCGACAGTAGCAACGACGTCTTTCTTAGCGTGCGTAGTTCACCGGAGTGCAAAGGACTCATGGCACCGGCCACGGATCTAGGTGCCGAATGGAAGAAAGGAATCGATGCTACAGGCGTGGGCGGCGACGCATCGTTACCGCTTCTCCGAGGCCTGTCGCCCACACCGACCCCCGGTCAACACAGCTCGCCATTCTTCAACGCCAAGCGGAAAAAATACGTGTATCCCATTACGCTGGTGGGACGAGGAGAGAGCAGCGTCTAGTCATAGATTCTAGATAAATGCTGGACATAATCAACGATTGTGAGTGAAGTCCTTCACTCGACAAACAATCGTAATGGAGGAAATAAAATAATGGTATCGCGCTCTGTGCGACTCGTGTATGATCCTCTTTAACTTCGACTAGAAGGAATATTTATTGTGAGAGAACTTTTTAGCTCAGCGAATTGAAATAAAATCAATCGAGGACCATGAGGCACGATAACAGTAGTCAGAAGTAGGCGTTTGGATATATGTGCCAAATTCTTCTTCTTACCAATTTCCTCTTCTTCCTCAATCTACGAATTTCTCAGGTAATCAACCTAAACGGCAGTCTAAAAAACGTATGAACGTAGGACATCTTTGAAATGCGTTTTTACGTCGCTTTTGCGCATTTGCGATTGTCCATCTTCGATTTACAGATTTAAACATACTTTCTTCGATCATTGTCCCGTCTTGATACGAATGTTTCGACTAGCAACGCATTTCTTCGAGGTATTACAGTTTGATAATCTTACTGTAATAATCACAATTATTAAACAATAACTCGTTCAAACGGGATTGCTTAAATATCAATAACAAGAAGGTACTTGTGCATGTTCCTAAGGACAATGTTGAACAATAGTCGAGCGATTATTTTAACAATTAATTAATGAAGCTGGACGTTAATTATGCAATATGAAATTATCCATCTTTTAGAGGAGGATTTTCAATTCTATATCAGAAAAGCTATTCCTACTCTCGTCTAGTGTCAGAGAGAAATACATTTCTGCAACTAACTATAAATCTCTTGATCGAGATTAAAATATGTACTGCATATCGCAGTAACGGCCTATTTTGTATCAATATCGTTTATTAAGATCACAGTAGAAACCATGATTTTTATATATTTCTAAATGGATTTGTCGAATAAAAATCAAATCTCGCATATATAATTCTGTTCGAGTTTTTGATATAATTTGTACTGTTCTTAGAACGTGCTTTAACATACGAATCGATATGGCGTAGTAATAATTATTCAGTACCTTTTTATTACACTCTAGTCAAATCTCTCGAGTTTGACGATGATACTTAGGGCGAATAAAGAAATACTTCGCGAAACGTTATCGCGATTATATATAGTCAAAAGGAAATGCGATTGTCAAGTATATGACCTTTCTTGAGGATAAGCTTAAGAATCGGAGTTTTGATGTCGCTGTACTTATGTAAAAAAAAAATAGCACCAAGTGGCATTTAAATTCTAGTCAATATAACGTATGCTTAGAAAGTGTAACATTTATTGTAACCTTAGAGGAAAAAATGCACAGAATATACAATTAATTTTAACATAGAACTATTTATAAGAAATAAACGATGAAGAAAACCGCTACATCTGTATATAATGTATATGCAATTGATTATCTGGATATTAAGTTACCATAGAACGAAAAGATTCCGAAAAAATTATCAATGTAACGCGAACTCGATGTCGCATGCCGAGTGATAATAAATTATTACAGTAAATTTATTATTATTCATTCGTTTGTTACAGGAAACTTCTCTGTGTAATATAAACAGTCATTCATTCCAGTAGATTCCGTGTTAAATGTTCAAATTTTCTCGTGTATAAGACGAAGACAGTTCGTTAACAAAGTAAGCTGCCCAGAGCATACATATATTTGTAAAAAAAAAAAAAAGAAACTATTGCATGGCGCTTGCCCACGGCGGTATCATGGGCTGTGGATTTTGTAAGTAGGACATCACTACCGCCGATATCGACAGCATGAAGCAGCTGAGGATTTGCTTGGCGTCCTCGCTCACTCGCGTATTGGCGAAGCTGATGCAGGAGCAGTAGAGCGCCACCCAGGAACACCATTTCAGCCTCATCATCAAGCCGCACATACTGAAGATCATTCCTATGACGTTCATGTACTCCGGAGTCATGTCGTCCTGCATGTGCGTCTGATTGTTTGAGCCCGGTGGCTTGTAGCGAACCTCCTTGTCCGGCCGCCTCGGATCTGTCGAGCTATTCATTTTGAATATCTGCAATACAGAATACAGATGCTAAGTAACAACTTTATTGTTTTCTGTCAAAAAGAAATCAGTGCAGGTGTACAGTTATTTTTTTGAAGCAAGCTCTATCTTCTTTTCCTCTTCATTAAGGCTTAGAGGTGATTTGCAATTAACAAATGTATAATTTTCTTTTATGAATTGGTATCTATCAACCCAATACGATTGTCTTTCATCAGGAAAGGTTATTATCCCATGGTAAATTAATCAGTTATAGATAAGAACATAGATACACTAAATAATAACTTTATTGTTTTCTGTCAGAAGGAAATTAATGGTGTGCAATGTATAATTATTTTTCGAAGCAATCCTCTTCACTGAAGCTTAGAATTTGCAATTAACAGACGTAGTTTTTTTTTTTTAATGAATCGGTATCAAAGCTACCTATCAAAGCAATACGCAATTTTATTTTATCAGGAAAGGTTTACTATCTCGCGCTGAATTGTTTTCAAGCATAACATTAATTAATCGGTCAATAATTAATAAACGGTGATTTTCAGAGTGGCAACGGCATACTTACGTGTGGGTTGGAAGACACTGTATGTACAAATATTATCTAAACGACTGGCATTCCAACACCAGAATCCGTAAAACACAGTAGATCAGCAGGCTGTCACAAACCACGTCACAACTCGCGGAAGCCGCGGAGGAGGCCCAGAGCCCAGAGACAGAGAGTCACGGAGTCACCTGGCCGCACCGTGAATCGTGACCACTGGTGACGGTGACTTGGTGACCACCGTGACCGGTGACAGAACAAACGGAGTAGACTCGCAGCGCCGCGCGCGACTGCTCCGCGAACCGCGAAACCTACACATCGTCGCGGTCGTCGCGGAGGGAGAATCCCGACCTGCGACCATAAAAAGTTGGCGAGAGCGCCTCTCGTCCGCGAGGCTACCGTCCGAGGCCGCGCGCACGAGCCTTGGCGCGAGAAACGTCGTCCGCGCCGCTCGGGACACGTCGTCCCTCCCGTGGTCGTGTCGACGTCGACGTCGTGTCCGTCGATCGTACGCAACGCACGCGGGAATCGCGGGATGAGCGTTTAATCGCGCGCGTGCGGCGCCAACGAGAGCAAAGCAAACACGAGCGAGCGAGCGAGAGAGAAAGATGTCGAAAGCCGCTGACAGACAGAGCTACGCGCAGACCTACAAGCTCGTCGTCGTGGGTGGGGGCGGTGTCGGAAAATCGGCGATCACGATACAATTCATCCAAGTAAGTTTCAGCAACGATTCATTCCGCTAACGCGATAATGCAATGCTGCCTGGCCGAATGTCCGAATCCGTGATAGATATCGATCGCGTTCGATTCGACGCGCGGAGGCGTTTCCGATCGCGGATCTCTCGACGGCACTCCAATCTCCAATTTCCCTTTTATTCGGAAATTCCCCGAATGTCCGAAAGAAACAGAAAACGTCGCGTTCGTTCACGTCGTTGTCTCCGAGATGCGATCTGTCCTCGCCGCTCTCCGGAGCATCGATTATTGCCGCGACGCGTTATCGTCGAATTCCTGTCCGGAGATAATCGATGGGCGAAGTAGAAACGGGGGAAGGGGCGTAATCGCGAAATATACGCGAGCGAGACGTCGTCGGGTCGCGTTACACGCGACGAGGCAGGAGAACAAACAGTTGGAGTAGTTGGACGGGTAAGACGGGTTAGGCATTATGTCACAGCGCGTACGGCAATCGTCATATATGGTCATATACGCGGCAGCGCCGTGGCGCGTCGATTCCGACGAAACCTCGAGCCCCCGCGCGAGGGGGCGGAGAGGAGCAGAAGGGGTGCGACGCGCGCGGCAATATTCGCAAATCGAATGCGGCTTGAAACGTGAATGCGATTTGCCGACGATCGGCAACTACGTGAGAGATGCCGTTTGAATTTTTGTCATTCTCCTCATCAAGAATGATCGGCTGTCTTTTGCTTCCTCATAGAGGAAGCTTTGTGATGGTGAAAAAATTTTTTTTCGAGATTTTGATGGAAATAGGTTTAGAATGTTCTAAAATGTCGAAAAATCGTATTAGTAAAAAATGTCCGGAAGTATGTATGTATGTGTGTGTGTGTGTGTGTGTGTGTACGGATTTTTTGTACACGCATCTACTTCTACAATTTTTTAGATACCGGGTTGAAATTTGGCACACAAATAGAGTATCATAGAAAGTATGTCCTCCTCAAATTTTATTAAAATCCATAAAACGGTATAGATTTTATGCAGATTTTCATTTTTTTGAAAAATGTGTTTTACGCTGCATCTTTCTCAATATTTGAGATAGCGATCTATTTTTAACTCTATTATATTTTTGAGTTTTTTCTACCCCTATTTCATATATAATTCATTAAAATTTGATTGATTAGATCTCGTGTTACACACATTTGAAATTTCGGAGAATTATACATACAGTTTCTAATTTATATAATAATTGAAATCGAGTTAAAATGTTCATATTTGATAGCTTCGGTTTTATCTCGAAAAATCGTATTAGTAAAAAATGTCCGGAAGTATGTATGTATGTGTGTGTGTGTGTGTGTGTGTGTACGGATTTTTTGTACACGCATCTACTTCTACAATTTTTTAGATACCTGGTTGAAATTTTTAAAGAGGTTAAGTTTTTAAAGAGTTAGGTGTGCGAGTAGAAACCTGCACATTGCTTGATTAGAGTTTTTAAGTGTTTAAGTAGAAACCTTCGCACACAAAGCTTCCTCTATGAGGAAGCCAACACAAATAAATACTGAAAATTATACATTGAAAAAAATAATGCTTCATCAACTTGCACACTTAATAACTATGAGGAAGCAATGTGCAAGTTTCAACTTGCACAATTTCATCTTGTTTTTATTTAAAACGTGTTTTAATTTTTTTTGCATAAGTATAGTTACTTGAAATGATTTTTACACCTCAAATAAAAGTTATTGTTATTAATTACATATTTTGGTATTTAATTACGTATTTAATTGCATATTTTTGATTGTTCTATAGTTTAGCAGTATTTGAGAACAATATGTACTGAACTTATATAGATTTACTCAATATTTTTTAAAAATAATAAGAAGAAACAAAAAAAAACTAAACAAACATTAAAGGAACAAAAGAGGCACATTATAATTACCGTGACGCTTTATTTTTTCGATACTGGGGTGTAAGATTCATTCCAGATGCCCGTTTCTGAGTGAAATACATGATGAATATCTAAAATATAATATATTACGTTTTCTATAAGTATGCTGTATTTAAAATTGTTTTCAGAGCTATTTCGTGACCGATTATGATCCAACGATTGAGGATTCCTATACGAAGCAGTGCGTTATCGACGATGTGCCAGCCAAACTCGACAGTAAGCGAAGAATACATCAGCCTATATAATTTAGTTTAAGATCTGTCTTTATTTTTGCTCGTGTTTATTCACACTCGTTCGCTTAATTTGAATCCGGTTTAATACAGAATCAGAAATCGAATATTGAGAGAGCTATGTTTGCGTTACAGTTTTGGACACCGCTGGCCAAGAGGAATTTAGCGCCATGCGCGAACAATACATGAGAAGCGGCGAGGGATTCCTCCTCGTGTTTGCCGTCACCGATCACTCGTCTTTCGACGAGATATTAAAGTTTCACAGGCAGATACTTCGAGTGAAGGATCGAGATGAGTTTCCCATGCTAATGGTTGGAAACAAAGCGGATTTGGACCATCATAGGATTGTAAGTATCGTCGATAAGTAAGCAGATTTAATCGTACCCCGTTCGCTTTTCTCTGCAGAGAATAATAAGTAATTCCATGTTTTTCCTCCCACAATTTACTAACTCAGTTGAATCTTTATTTTAGGTATCAATTGAGGAGGCGCAAAATATGGCGCGTCAATTGAAGATTCCATACATTGAGTGCAGCGCTAAGCTACGGATGAACGTCGATCAAGCTTTCCACGAGCTGGTGCGAATCGTCAGAAAGTTTCAACTGTCGGAACGGCCGCCGCTGAAGCCAAATTACAAGAAGAACAAGAAGAAGTGTTGCATGCTGTAATAACAAAACTATTTATCCTGACAGACGATTTAGCACACTGATCGGACCGTATTTTTGGCGGTGAGTTCTCATTCAGAGAAGAAACAGGGAAAGAAAATGGTAAATTCGAAAATTACACACGCAAAAAAAAAACTGAAATTTTTATGATACACTTTGTCGGAAATAATTTACACCTCCGCGCAAATAAAGTATTCTTTTTCGTGTTTAGGATTGAAAACGACGCGGATTTCGATATTGATTACATAAATAAACTGCCAAACTTTGCAACAAGTTTACTGATGATTACCGCATGTGCTTTTCTAACTATTGCGCTAGAAGGCAACGTTTTACCAACGATTATCGTCGACATTTACTATCGTCTCGCGGCGATAACGATAATATGATTAATTACAATGTGACAGTAAAATAACTCTTTTTAATGCCATTATATTCAATTTGTAATGTATAGAGTTTAACGAAAAATAACTTTGCTTCCATATATAGCAGGTCAATTTTCGCCTTGCATAAATAGAGGCAATGGCCCAATGACAAATATAATTATTTTTCTAATAAATTTTGCTGGAAGAACGCTCTACAAATACTATCGATGAGTAAAATTTAAAACGGTTATTATCTGTAACGCAATGTACTGTTTAAGATGGTATATTTGGATGGTTGGGATGATGGTTAACTTATTACGACATAATTGGATTTAATAGTGGGCAACCACACAGGGTCCCAGGGTCTTCATAGATTCGCTTCCGCTCGCTGCTGATCGTCTGATATATTAATGATCTCGAATTGCAGCGAAACTAAAATTAAGGCAAATAGAACAACACACAAATTTTCATAACATTTGTATGATATGACAATATATACTTGTATGACCAACAATTTGAAATGTAAAGGGAATGTTTCATACAACATACATATATATATATGTACTAATTGTAAGAACAGGATAATTATGATCATGAAATGTAGAATATGCTTTTGCTCTTTATCTCTCATTTTAAGGAAATATTTTAGACAGAAAATATTAGTTGAAATACCTTATTTTTATTCACGTATATGATCCAATGAATACGTGCCGGCAATATATATCGTGTTGGTATATATGATATCTAAAAGATGCATTCGATCAAAGCAGTTGAATCACTATTTTGTAGTGACGACTTAAACGCACACTGTACTCAGCCACTTGTCGAAAATACTTCTGCTATTATTAGCAGCGTTCTAATTCGTCTTCCCTTTGGTTGAGTCATAATGTCTAATTGCGAAAATCAAAATAACGCAGTAACTAAACGTACAAATTATGAGATACAAACCGAGCAAATACCATTTATATTCGAGTTACGTCTATAAGAATTGTTAAAATTGTTTAAAGTTATCTCTATATTTACATATAGCACTTAGTGGTTGAAATTTTGCGCAAATTACAATAATAAAATCAGAATGGGGCCAATAACATTTTTAATGCAGATGATCATGTAATTAATAATATCTTAATGTTATATACTCCACAAGTTTCGATTAGCACGCTCCGTTTGAATTAATTTTGACGTTAAAACAAAATTAATAATTTATATTTACTTACATATTCTTCTGTTATATTTATAATTAAATGTCTTCCAATGTAATTACTCTTTAAATGCATGTAACTTTATTTAACGTTACGTCTATTTTATTAAAACAAAGTTACGATGTTGTACGTAATTTTAATGATGATATTTTAATTCTTTATAATTCTCAGCTTAACGAGAAGGAAAATATGGACACCACTACAAATACTTTTATAAATGTAAAATTTTTATTTCTCTTTTCTGTTAAATAAATTTGTTTTTATTGAGTAATAATGTAATGTTATAATGTCTATGGTTAAAAACGCTATATTTGTGGAGAGATATGAAAATGTGTTCAGCTAGTTTCGGTTTCACCAATAACGAAACATATAATTTTGCTCGCTCGATTTTTCCAACGTTATATTTCGTCAAGGTTCGATTCGTTGCTGGTGATACCGAGATGTACTAATAATGATACTAATAATAATACTAGCTTTAATAACGTAGATAATAATATATGTATAATATATATATGTACCTATAAGACTACAAAACGACACTTTTACAGGAATTACAAAATTTTGCGATGATATGGTATCATACTTAACACTAATAATTTATACGAAATGGTCATCTTATGAAACGTTACTTATAACATTTATGAAACTGCAAGAATCGAATAAAAAATTCCATTTATTTTTGTAACTGAATATATATTTATATGTTTGTAAAAATAATGTCTATAGCAAACTGATCTTTAGATTCAATCTATGTTTGTTAACTTCTGTAAACCAAATAATATAAATATAAAATTAATTGTTATTATGTTCTTTTTGGTATTCCCAATTTTCCGACATTATTTCACGTTTAAATGTACATTTAGAGTTTGCCAAAAGATTTATACTTATTTTTACGTATTTATGTAAAAATGTAAAATTGCATTTTTATGCTTAGCACATTATATTGATTATTAATATATATATATATAATAAACTATTTATATTGATCGTTTTAGAATAATTTTTTGTTATTTTTGTCATATATTATAAACGGTACTAAAAATATATTGATATAAAATACACATGTATTATTGTTGAATTGCATTTTCTTTTATTTTTTATTATAAAATTATATCCTTTTTTTTTAATTAATGTATATACATACAATTATGAGATTTGGAAACAATTTATCAACAGCAGGTTATACTTAAAGGAAAATAAATACATCAATCATCTAACGTTTCACAGATTTACTAGCAGATGTCGTTAATTTGATTTAAGCGTGTTTAAAGCGGCAAGAACAGAAAATGGGTGCGAGTGGCGTACTCAGGTTTCTCTCTGCCTCGGGAAATTTGGAAGAATTTTTAATCGCAAAAATCGAAAATCTCGGAAAAACGGCAATCAGGAGAACATGATCAGCAAGGATGAGGTTACGTTATCTAAAATTTTAAGAATTTTCCCAATTTTCAAGAATTAAAATTTTGAGAATTTAAAATTCAAAAAATTTTATGTGGAAAATCGAGTGTCTCAAAGATTGATAAAGTATATAAAGGAATATGATTAGCAAGGAGTTGCAGTATTTAAAATAATTTTCCACATTTCTAAGTATAAATTGTGTAGCAAATAATGTAATTTTTTTCAGTATTCGGAGTAAAATCTCGTTTTGCTTACGATGTCCAACACGTTATTACGTGGGTCGCATAATAAAATGTGACAATAATTAACAGCGGTGCCACGATATGGCCAATCGATAACCGAATAACGACAATGTAACGCATCTACAACGGCACATTCACCCTAATTTAGACGTTGACCGATCGTGGGGGGCAAGGTGGTCAGACGGGATTCCCACCGTTGCTATTCTTGACCAGACCGCGCTAATATTGACGCCGCGCGATTACTTCCAGTCACGCTGGGTGCTAATGCAACTATTATATGAATATCGCAATTTTTTTTATCATACCGTACCGCAGTATTACAGCAAATTATATTGCAATAATTAGAATAATAATTATACTAAAATTACACTGATAAAAAAATTGTCTGCATTTTAGTAAATATTAGTTTGCACACAATTAACTGTGAGTACTGTGTAACTCTATATTTACTAAAATAAAGAAAATTTTTTTAGTGTAATATTTGGACCTTTTGTAATTATGCCGTCGAAATTTTCCATTGGAATCTTTTAGAATTTTAATTTCACTTTCGATTAAGTCCAGATGTTTCATCTTTGTATATATAATAGTATTTCGCGTCGCGAGAACTTATAAGTGTATCCGTCTCATATGTTATTATATACCGGATTGCTTTGCGGATTCCCTTGGACTTTAAACGGATCATATAAGAAATTATAGGATATAGGAAACTATTATTGCTACACACGCTTCTTTTTTTTTTTTTTATTTCAAGATACGGCGGATACGATAATTCCCTTATTTAAGCGACGACCATTAGTAGCAAGGTCGCCATAACGGTATATTTTTCTGTGGAATCCATTAACGCGCGACAGAGAGATGGAAAATATAATCGTCTGCTTTAGGGGATCGCCGTTTCGACATCCTAAGTTTAGCCGTATTCATTTAAAGACTTATATACTTTTTCGTACACAGGAAGTGACGAAATTGCAAATATAGCGATGTTGTTCGTTCAGACGAGCGGCCGATGTCACGTCGCGGAGATACGACGCGTTCGAGATATAAATTGTTTCCTTTTTTCGAAAAAAAAAGAGGAGAAAATAAAAGGGAGAAAAGCAGCGCGAACTTTTACCGTATAATCGTCGGCAATCAATGCCGCCTCCTTTGTCCGCCCCGGCTCCAGTATTCCGCGAGGTAAAACCAGTTCTCGAGTTAGCGCTTTTGCCTAGGCGTGAGCACGTTGAGTCGCGGCGACGCCGCGTCATGTGTCGAGATCCGTACGATCTGTACTCGCGAAAAGCAACGCAAGTACGACGGAAAACATTATGCTAATAATCGTGGAAGGCTGCGAAGGTAGTGAAAGGTATGCCGCGCTATCGCGAAAGAAGAAAAAAAAAACGGCAAAGCGAGTGAAGCGCGCGCGAGAATACCCCTCCGCGGTGTCGATTCGATTGGATTCGATCGTCACCGAGAGAGGATCGGGGAAACGCTGGCTGTTGAAATTATAAACGTTCAGTTTCATCTCTCGGTTCCTCGCTCGTTCCAACGGGAGGAGAAACAACTATTCCCCTTTGTTTTATTATTTTTTTCATGTAAGTAATACCGCGATCGGAATATTCTGTTTTTTTTTTTTTTCAAACCAAATCAGTACTTTTACCTCGTCAGTAATTTAATTAATAATAAATATTTTTTATTCGGCCCAACCGGCTCTTTTTATTAATAATAATTTTATAATATTATTATTATAATATATTATTATTAGTATTATTATTATTTAATTAATGATAATAATTCTTTCGTTTGCTTTCTAATGTAAATTAAGAACAGAGACTGATCCCGGTGGATACTGAGACATCTCGAAAAATAGTGAGTTACATTCAGATCAGTATCTATAAGTGGCGGGCTTAAAACCCGTAAAACTAACGACGCCGCGGCGCCGAATTAAGTTCTTTGAACCTTTCGATCGGGGAATCTCGGGGAATGGACCCCCGCTCTGTCCCGCTTTGGGTTCCTTGGACTGAAGTTCCGTATAATAATAATACGTGCGCGCAGGCAGGTAGTCTTCGAGGACGGGTGAAGAAGGACGAAGAAGAAGAAGACGATAATGATGATGAAGAAGAGGAAGAAAGGAGGAGGAGTACCGCGGGATAAAAATAGCACACGGTACCGTCGCAAAATAAAAACTAATGATGCGAACCTGCAGAATGACGATCCCGAGAGCCAGACTCGCCGAGCAAGGAGGAAAGCAGGAGGAGAGGCACCAAGGAGCATGCACAGGAGCGGAGGAAAAAGGTCGTTGTCTAAAAGGAAGAATGGGGTTTCGTTTTTGGAGGAGGAACAAGAGCGGCAAAATTTTATATTCGTGCTCAGTATATACATTTTAATAAAATACCATTAATATTGCTAAGATTTAAAGGAAACAAATGTAATAAACTTTCGCGACATCAAAAGCTTTAAATTCTTGTTCTCTTGCAATGTTCGTCAATTATCTTGTCAATTAACATAAATTAATATAACAATTGTATAACGAGCTTTATATTTACAAGGATTATTATGTACGATTATTTCTTTCTGTTCCTCATCGCAACAGGGATAGGATTTTAGTTGAAAGACCGTCGAAGTTCATCGATTTATCTTCGTGGACCACGTGGCGTCCTTGAAAATCCTTGAAGATCTACGTCTCGGCGAGTGTATTCTTGGCATTTCGTGATGTGCACGAGATGTTTGCGGTGCCTAAGTCATCTTTGGGAGTCGCGGCGCGCCGCGCCGCGTCGACGGGAGCCCGCGATAGTGGGAGCCGGAGCAAGCGGTGGTTGTGTACGCGGTGGAAGAAATCTCCCACCCTCTCGGTGATCGTGCGCTGGATCACGCTACTCGACCTGTCTCCACCTTGTAGTCTCGCCGCGGTGTACCGAGAGCACCTCCGTGTGGTGGCTCACCAGTAAAGTCGGTATCGCCGACCAGTCGCCCAGCCAGCCGGTCAGCTAGCCAGCCAGCCAGCCAGCCAGCCAGCCTGCCTGCCAGCCTGCCAGCTAATTCGCAGAAAACAATCCTTACGTGCACACCGTAACGTGCACATCGGTGGTGCACACCGGTCTTATAATGGCGCGGCATGGTGACCGTTTTGGTACGATAAAAGTTGAGGGCAACCTTCGGGTGTTCCTGCGCCGGTTCGAGGAGAGCTGAGGAAAAAAGAAGAGGGAGTGGAACGGGTTCTACGGTGCCAGTGTGCAGTCTAGTCCAAGACACAGGATGATAGCAAACGTCCGATGAGCATCCTGCTTCCCGTTGCCCTCCTACCAGAGTAAAAGAGAGAGTGTGTGTGTGTGAAGAGAGCGAAAGAGAGAGAGAGAGTAGTTCTCCGCGGGTGACTGAGCCACCGCCACCTTCATCCTTCCTCCACCACCGCTAGCGGTGAGAAGAAGAGATGTCGAAACCAGAGGAAATGTCTACCAGGTCAGTGCGCGATTATTATAATTGCTTTCGGATGAATTGGTTGGGCTAATAATGCTCGATAATAAATCTATGACTTTAATTTAGACTCGACTCGTCTTTTATAATCCTGGATAACTCCATATTTTCGTACCTTTAAATCGCTGATATACATATTGAGCTTGATGAATCCTTAATTGAACTTTTTTCGCTGATGTAGGCCTAGTTTACACCGATCTCTTGATACGCGTATCAAATAGTATATTTGAGCTGATCAGCCAATAATCAAACTAATTTACTAGTTATTTACTATTTAATACGCGTATCAAGTGATCGGTGTAAACTAGGCCTTAGATTCCTAATTTACAACTCGCACGGAATCTAAGATCAATTTGAAATTTTTATTAGTTATTAGTCAAAATTTAAGAATCTAAAAATTAGAGACGTTATTATCATGTTGCTGTTCTTAAACCTTCTCATTGTCATGCAAATGATTTACATTATATTTGCGATTAATTATGTGTTATTTAGTTTCAAAACCTGTTTTTCTTATATTTTTAAATGCAGATACTGACTTGCATTAATAATCAGCTGTACTGATCATTAGGGGTTTTATTTAAATCCATTCAAGCATACATATTTAAGTATATTTTGAGTTAAGTACATTATAATGCTATACAAAGCTTATCGCAATATAAACATTGCAAAAAGACATTGCGAGCATTTCAAAATTAATTTACGAAATGATAAAACTTCTTGGTATATAGACGCAGGTTCGAACTGCAGAAAGAAAAGTTCGAGTTTTATTCAAGAAATATATATTATTAGATTTGTTGGCCAATTCTACTAGAGTGGTAACCTTGTGTATCGCGTGTTTCACGTCATGCGATCTTATATATGCTTGATTTAGAATTAGACGGAAACATATGTCGTTGTTCGCAAATGCATCTGTTATATTTCATGCACGATATCGTTTGTCGTCGGCGTGTCATTGTATTTCCATCAACTGCGTGCGTGGAAAAATACACAAATTTTTCCAACTAATAGACGAAATTGCTGTATATTTTACGTAGTACGATAAAGCCTGTTATCTTTCGCTATACATTGCACTTCTGAATTCGTACGGCAATAAGTTAGAATGAAAGAAAATATATTTGTTTCATTCTAACTTATCGCACAAATTCAGAAGTGCAGCGAAAACGAACAGGCCTATAGTTTACAGGTGCAGAGGTCTCGCTGTTATCCGCATAATGTGAAATATTTTATTTAATCGAAATAAAAAAAGGAGACAAAAAGAAATTCAATTAAAATAAGAAATGAAGGAAATTTTATCTTGCTTTTTATAAAGCAAAGTAGACTTTAATCACAAGATTGCGAATGAAGAATGGAAGAGAAATGTGAGAGGGAACAAGAGCGAGAGTGAACCCAATAAAATCGGGTTGATGTCATAATTATATAATTAACAGCTTGATTTAACATACTAGCAAAGACTAGAATGTAGTGCACATCTTTTACAAAAGCAACAACTTTGCCAAAACCAATAACACGCGTCACTTTATAGAATCGCGATTCCACACATGTCGTTTTAACCATGTGATACACATGTACAGAATGTATTTGTGATTCAACTATGTAGGTTCTCTGGCATTTAGCTTCCAAAAAGAAAAAAAAAAGAAAAAAAAACGCAAGCGTTCGGGAAATCTTATTTGCCAATAACGAAGCGCACGTATTGCGGGAGAAAACACGAAACGTGTGATTAATCCTTCAATAAGGGATGATTACCGGTTAACGCTTCGGCGTCTCCTCACGCGTGTGCGCGCGCGTATATTAACGTTACCCACCCGTTACCTTCGTAATGGAACGTGTTTTTCCTTTCGGATTCTGTTTACGGATATTAATTCACCGTAATGCTTCAAGGCGTTTGAACGTTAACGAGCGTGCCGTTTGTTACTGCCGAGATACGAGTTGCCCACGCTATCTCGCGCATGACTATGGCGACAGAACGCCTTAAATTAATAAGTATAATATAGGCGTAAATACGCGACTCGACGTTCGGTCGCACGACCCGTGAAACTCGATATCAAATAAATCGAGTAAGATTTGAACATAAAATTATTTAATGAGACACAGATCTCCGCCGCTTACGCCGCGGCGCGGCGCGGCGCCATTGCTGGCTTTTTCCTGAATGAATGTTTAGTTATACGATATAAAGTATCTTGAGAATTTCTTGCGTTGCTTTGCCAGCTAATAGTCGCTGTGTTTATTACAAAATAGACAGCCGATTAATGTAAATGATATCTTCCTTGTAACGATTCATAAAGAAAACATGTAACTTTTCTTAGAATTTTAGTCATCCAATGAATCGAGCGTATGTACATCATGCATCAGAATTGTATATACAATAATTAATCTTACTGCACAAACCTTGCTAAAATATATGTGAATGTAATATATCCTATGATCTCTTTGCTAATTATATTAATAACTTTATAGCATTTTATTAAAAAATATTTTTTTCCTGTTTCACTTATTAAAAAAAATATTATTTTACAAAAATAAAAATAATTTTCTTATGCAAACTAATTTCTATAGTATTATTTATTATTCTACATTATTTTTTATTTACGAACATTTCCAATCACTCAAACGTTTGCGAGATGAGTTTCATCGATTGCGAGATTATTATTGATGCTTATTAAGTATATAATTTAACGTTTAGTGACGCAGAGTGGCAACATATTTGATAACATTTTAAACAGCCTTCATAATTGAAGTCATTATATAGGATTTTAGCTTCAAATTTGAGCAAACCATACAAGGTTGCTAATATTTGATCAATATTTAACAAAATATAACATTTTTGCGAATGTATGAACAATTTTTTGCCAGACGTAGCGAGCGAGAAAATAATTACATGTCTTCTATTATTAGCGTTCAATCTTCTCTTTTCTACATCAAACAGCAAGAGTGAGAAAGTATCATAATTGGCTTGATAAGCATAGAACTGATATATCTATCGACTGGAAAACCATGAGATTCTTCGAGCGTTAGGTTTTCGGCTTCAATAGCGACATTAACCTTTAGCGCGTAATGATACATTCACATTCAAACTTTCGGCCTTAAGAATGTATTAATAGAACCGGTTATTTATTCACTTGGCAACATATGTTCTGGAAAATGTTCGGTATAATTCCGTCAGAATTACGCAATTGTTCATCTTCGATTACTATAAACACATTAATCCGTAGATCCAGAGAGGAAGGCCAATATCCACATTTTTGTTTTGTCTATATTTTTGTTTATTTAAATAATATTCGAAGTGTCCTCCTTCCACGTTTGTCTTACGCAAATAGAGCGCGTTCCTTTGAAGATTCCCGACCTCTCTTATATCGTTTGATCAGACGGTTTCTTCCCCCACTGTCGTTATTTACGAAAACGCTGCCAAAAATCTGGAGAATTTTAACTCGGCAAGAAAGAAGTCGAAGAGGAGAAAAGTCTGGCAAAAGTTTCACGCAGAAATATACATATTTATCATTTGGAAGCGATTTGATTGAAATGGAATTACGTAAAACGTGAATCACTAGCGTGCGACTTTAACATAAAGGATACCGTGTGACTCCGAAAGTTTTTAAATATTATTAAACATTTTAATGAAAATATGATCTTTTTCGTAAAGATTTCTCTCTCTCTCTTTTTTTGGTTAAAAATCCGGAGATTACACGCGTATTACAAAACTTTTTATAGCTCGTCACTGTGTAACACGTGAGCGGCATTTTTTGAAACGTTATTAACGTGAGATCTCGCGAGGTCGATCGTACCACGCGTCTCGCACCGACTGGAGAACGGCGTGGCGCGGCGCGGCGCGGCGGGCGATCGGCGGTGGCGCGTTCGCGAGCAGCGCGTCCGAGCGTTTTACGCATCCGTAGTAAATGGGAATCATTCATAGTACCCAGGCGTGGTACTTCCTCGCGAGCGATGTGCCTACTTGTAGCGCGGTGTGCAGCCGCGTGGCCGATTACGGGACTTTTCTCACCGTTGCGCGGTTTACTACCACTGGCACCGTCGCTCGCCTCGAAACGAAGGCAAATACGCAAACTCGCGGATGATCCTCGAGACGTCAATCAGCGAGATTCACATTACCTTGAGAGAATCAGAGAACCGAAGAATTAATTTATACTTTCAATGCCTTACCTGTGCATTTTTAATTAATAACGTTTTAAAGAACGAGTTACAAAGTTATAGAAGCTGCGCGACGTTTCGTGATGCAAAGCGCGTTCGTTTTTCTTTTTATTAAAACTTGAAAGGGACGCTTGTGGAAGAAATAATATTTTCATTCAAAACGTTTGAGTGATTGAAAATGTTTCGTGAATCGTAAATTGAAGTTATGTCCATCAAAACTTATATATAGACTGCATCTTTATTTTTGCATTACGCTGCAGACAGACATTTATTAGATCGTCGTTAAATGCCCGGCAAATATGTTTACCACAAAGTCTTCGTTACATACCCTTTACGTAAAATGATAACAATACGCCAGCAAAGATTAGAATTTTGCGTTAAAACCGATGCCACATCTGTGTCCTTGTTAGGCTTGCAAAACTTACTGTTCATAAAATAAGAGTAATAATTGCTTGCAAAAGCATAATCTAACAGCAAACAGACGGTAAAAATTGAGCAAGAATATGCGCGGCACAATGTAACAGCAAATTGGTAGTGAATATCGAGCAAACCGTTTGTTGCTGTTACATAACTCGATAATTTGATGCGTCATTTTAAATACCTTTAAATACCTTTAAGTATTACCTTAAGTATACTGAGTATAAGCTACGTAATGGAAAGTCTCATTTGCTGCCAATTTACCGTCGTATTGTACTATGCATGTTCTTGCTCGGTTTTTGCCGTCTGTTTGCTGTCGGATCAACTTGCGGGGAGTTCTGCCTGTCATTTTATGAATAAGTAATTTCTGTCGTTTTGTAAATATCATTTAATTAGCGGATTTTGCATCAAATCTGTCGTTACTTTGTCAAGGAAACTTTTTACGGACGCTTGATAAAATATGTTCTTTTCAGATTTGGCTAACTAGATATCTATTATTACATTGTCCTTTTCGCCGGATTCCAGTTAGTCATATCGATTAAATTGTCAAACTTCCACTACGCTTCCGGCTAATTCTCAGCTAAATTAGGGGGCAGAGAAACGTGATGAAAAGTTCAAATCTAAAAGCCAGATAATAGTCGTAATTTTTCAAATTAATGGTTGCCCGCCACGCGATAGCCGCGTAACACGCAGAGTATCCGTCAGGAACTCGAATGCGACGTTGGACGATAGAACGTAACGCGCTCGCCGAGATATATGCTAATTAATACCACAAAGACGCGGATCGAGACGAGAGTGACGAGACACACGCGTACGTACGTGTAGCGTGAGTACACTAAGTATTTTATTTTTACCGTTTATCATATGTTCGCCTTCGTACCGACACGTTAAACACCGTAACTAACGCTTCCCAGAAGGATGACAGTTAGATCCGCCTAATAATTCATAATGCAAAGGAGATGATGAGAATTTAACTCTTTTGCAACTTTTTAACTCCCGAATGAATTAATATCCCGACACGTGATATCGAAGATAGTTCCGTTTGTTTAAAATTTTCCGAGGAAGAAGTTTATAATCAAATTGGCAATAATAAAAATCTAGCCCCTTTGCTTTTTTAATTATGGATAATAATATCTCAACACCTGATTAAAGATATTGTTTCGAATGCTCAAGACTTTTAGCCGAATACGCGATTGATTTAATATCGAAAGCATCGAAGTGTGTTAAACGGTCGCAAAATCATTGCAACTTTTATTCCTCGATTGAAAGCAATAAAAGGAAAGCAATGAGAATCAGCCATTATGTTTAACATCATTGGAGAGCATGGATTTACATTTTTAGGTACGAGCGATAAAATTATCATATCTTACTTTGGGAGTAAGGCTCGAAAGATAAAACAAAGGACGATGGGGAAAGTAACCAGATTTTGACCGTTGAAACCTTTCTTATGCATGTTTTCTTATATTTTTTCATGTGCTGAATCATTATCGAACGTTTATTTCGAGCTGATCTGATAGAAAAATAGCGAAAATCGCATTTAAACCCTGGTAAAAAAATTTCTCACATTTGTCAGAAATTTTGTAAGAATTAAGACTTAAGAAAAATTCTACGACATTTTTCCACCAGGGTTGAGTTAGGTTGGGTGATAGAGTGGGCTGGTTTTTTTTCTCTTTTATGTTAGAATGGGTGATGTGTCAGATTAGAACAAAGGAGGTGGGGTGAGAGACAGTAGGAGGAGAACATAAGGGTAAGAAAATGTTATATATTCTTGAGTTTTTGTTCCGATTTTTACCAATTTGCTACTTTGCATGCAATTTTTGCTATTTTCTCATCAGCTTGAAATATAATTAAAAGTTTGATAATGATTCAGCACATCAAAAAATATAAAAAAACAATTCGTAAGAAAGATTCCATCGCCTCGGTCAAAGGTTAATTTACTCATCGTCCTTCGTCGAGCCTAAACTCGTTACGATTTTTGACCGATATCTTTTAACAAGTCCTTCAAACCGCAGCTTAATTCCAAGATCTCGTGATACCTGACGCGTGCTTTCTACCGAAATAGAAGAATACGACAGCAGAGAGTCACGAGAGTCTTGTTCGGCGACTTTCATCCTATGATCTTCCTGCATGTAGATACGTGGGTTTCCGATGTGTATAGATCAACACGTATTTTCTGTTCTCTTCCACGCGATTAAAATGGCTTTTCTTCAGTCTCTTTTTTTTTCAACCATATATTCCCTTTACGTTTAGGAGCAAATGGAAGGATTAATTATTCCGAGCTCGTCGCGCGCGTTGGTACACACGGGCGGGAATTTTTCCCCGGGCGTTCGCGTGCGCGATCGTGAATGGTAACCGGGACACGTATTACACGTGACGGTTCCAACGAACGCGCGTGTTCCAATGAAAATCGTATATATTCCATGCGTGCGCGCAGGTGAACGCGCGAAGCCGTCGCGCGCGGCCAAGTGTGAAAAGAAAATCCTTATGGGAAAGCGTGTGCGGTCAATAAGCGGACAATTATAAAAAAAGGAAACGCGTCATTCTCTCCGCCGCTGGTTCGCATCGCGCAAACAACACGGCGAATTTTAGATTTTACGGTAATCTTATGACGAAACTGTCGGAAAGAACCTGCGGCAAACAACGCGGCGAATTTCAGATTTTATGGTAATCTTATGACGAACTGTAGGAAGAAAGACAACATTATAACGTCTTAAAGATGTCTAAGAGACGTCTTGTAAATTTTAATTTTTGGTAACGTCTTAAAGACGTCTTTTAGACATGCGTGTTGTCTGGGAAGCTAGAGATATACGCGTGGATCTTCGAGGACGCGAAAGTTTTGCGACGCCGCGGAATACAATAGGATAATCCGCGGTCTCGCGAAACGTCGATGATTTCATCGAACGCTGCCGATTCCTCTATCGCGCGCTGTTATGAAAGAGCGTAATCGCGCCAAGGACGGCGCTCCAGGCTGATCCGTCCTTTAACAGCGATAATAATCTTTCTCTTTACCTTCGCGCGGCGACGGAAGGCAGAAAGTGTCTATTATAATCCACGCGTAACGACGTCCCCCTTTTGAACGGTTTTGCAGTCGAGAATCGCACGGGACTCGCGCCGCGATCGGAAGAACCATGTCGACGAGGAGGAAGACGCGGAGGACGAAGATGATCCCGCCGGACGGGGGATGGGGCTGGGTGGTCCTGTTCTCCGCCCTCGTCGTCAACTTTCTCATCCCCGGCACCGTCAAGTCCTTCGGCGTGCTCTTCGTCGAGTTTCTGCATGTTTTCAAAGCCTCCTCCACGGCGGCCTCCTGGATGCCGGCGTTATGCTACTTTCTGTACAGCTCGTTAGGTAAGCAATACTCTTCAAAATAATATTCTACTTTGATTTTAAATTTGAAAATCGCCTGAATTTTCCGAGAACACATCTCGCATTTTATTTGTGATATATGTTCATAGATTTAGATGTAAATTAAACTAATGATATTATAATAAGTTTCGTTTGTCTAATATACAAGATACTTTGCTTTATTCCTTTACGAACAAAATTTTGCTTTCAATACACATTGATATATTTGTAAAGTAAATAAAATGCGATGCATATATCCAAAAAATATAATATGAAATATTTTGCAGGTCCTTTATCTAGTATTTTGTCGACCAAGTACTCCTATAAAACGGTGACTCTCATCGGCGGCACTTTTGCAGCCAGCGGGATGATGCTGAGCTACTTCGCTAATTCAGTTACTTATCTTTACGTCAGGTACAGTTTCTTTATCGATTGACGTTCGAGAAGCGTCGCAAGTGAATAGGCAAACACAGTTGTTAACAACTTTGATTTTAATAACTACTATGACGAAACGGTGCCGAAATGTTGTGTAATAAAGCCGGTTGTTGAAGCATTTAAGACGAAAGGTCTCCTTGATTTACGTATATTATTCAAGTCTTTGATTTACGTATACACGTAATACATTAAAATGCTACACGAAACATCCCAGGTAGCAAGCTGACGTTATTTGTCGTCATTTTACGTCAAAATGACCTTTTTGATGACATTTTGACGTTATAATTCTTGCATGTATAAAGAATAAAAAATTAATATTTTCTGGCATTTCTAAAAAATTTTTATACTTTCAATATTTATAAATAATAGTTTTTTTTTATACGTAGTTATGGTCTTATGGTCGGAATCGGCGCTGGATTGTCATTTCCACCGACGGTTTACATCGTTACGCAATACTTCGAGAGACTACGAGGGGTAGCGAACGGTCTATGCATTTCTGGTAGCGCGATCGGCACTATAGTGCTACCACCGTTACTGCAATATCTCTTGGACTGCTTCGGATATAGGTAATTTACTAAAAAAGTCGTATACACAGAAAAAAAAAAGGTTAAATTAACACTGATATATAATCTTTCTCTTATAAGAATTTCATCTTTTTATTTCAATATTTTTTTCTTCATTGAACAATATAAAACTTCGTTTAACTATATAAATGACTTTATTTTCAAGCAAGTTTTCTTCGCTTAATGCAATATAATCTCATTTCAAGATTATATATTCTTGCATATACATATACCAGTATATCAGTGTTGATTTGACACTTTTTTTTTCTCTAATAATGTCTACTTAAGAGAACGTGGAGGAGCAATTATTAGAAAAACTGAATGTGAATTATTCAGATGTTCCTTTCGGCTCCTGTTTCGAGAACAAGATATCTATTCTACCGAGAGCCCTTCCGCAAAAGACTTTATACAGTAGTCCCAACTGCTTTCGAGGGATCGGAAAGTAGAAGCGCACTCCGAAGCGGCTTGGGAAGTCACACGGCACAAAACTTTTCGCAAACTTACCCGTCGAAATCTTCGTCCCAAGAAAGGTCCCGCAGACGTCGAACAATGAAGCCTCGTCAATTCGGAAATTCTAATTCCTCCAGTTTCCTATGCGTTCAGTAGAGAGAAAATCAATCCATACTGTACTGTGGATATATTTACGTCAACGATATAAAACGTTTTAATTATTAATTTGGTTAATACCGTCTTATGTCAACGATATAAAACAGTTTTTTAATTACTAATTCGTTCAAAAAATCGCAATTACAATACCTTCCTAGTTAATATCGTCGGACAAATAAATATAAAGTTTTGATAAAATTTAGTCTAAAAACAAATAACAATAGTAACGGAAATACAACAAGCCCAGGTCCAAGTTGAAGTTTTATCTGAAAACCATTTCCTTCTCGCCCCTTAAAAACAAAGCTGGATGCATACCTTACTTAAATCAGGTTTTATTGTCACATTCCAGAGGAGCTGTCCTCATCATGGGCGCGATCACGCTGAACACGCTGGTCTGCGCCCTCCTATATCATCCGGTCGAGCAGCACATGAAAATTGTGCCCCTGGACGAGGGAGTCGATAACGAAGCGCTGACTCTCGACGAGCCTATCGGTGGAAAATGGGAGACAACTGAAAAAATAAGAGAGGACGCAAAATTCGATGACGAACCAATACGCAAGTTCTCAGATCTTTTACACAACGCGCCAACCCTCGAAGAGCCTGTCGGCGGGAAATGGGAATCGATTGAAAAAATGGGAGAGGACGCAAAATTCAACGACGAACCAATACGCAAATTCTCGAATCTTTTGCACAACGTGGTGCTAGAGTCAACCACGGAGAAGGCATCCGGTGGGCCTAAGAGGAAATTGGATTACAAGGAGAATGATACGATCGTAGGATTACGGTACAACGCTGTTAAGGACGAGGATTCGCATATACAGGAAGAAATTCCGCGAGAGAATACTCTGAATGAGTTTCGCATGACAACTCCGTGTCTTGCCGAGGAAGATGGCGATCGTCCAAATGGCGATACGCAGAATTTATCGCAGCGAGACAGTGCTGTTACAGAGAAGAATGGTAGGTCGCAATTGGACTCCTCGAAAGTCGAGGAAAACCGAAAAGAAGATAGCAGGGTGTGCGTCGAGGAACCGAGACGGAGCTCGGCAAAGACATCGAAGAAATGCGATAGCAAGCTCGAGAAGATGCCCTTCTTCGACCTGAGCGTGCTGAGGGATCCCATTTATCTGGTGATTCTCATCTCCAACTCCACGTCGGCCATCAGCAACACGAACTTTATGATTCTCCTGCCGTCCTACGCGATCGCTGAGGGCTTCGACAAAAACTCGTCGGCCCTCCTGCTGTCCATAGTTTCGGCGTTGGATCTGGTCGGCAGGATCAGCGGCGCGTCCTTATCTGACATCGATTTTATGCCCAAGTATTATTACTTCGTGGGCGGACTCGGCACCAGCGGAATCGCCCTGGCTCTGTTACCGATGGCGACCAGCTACACCATGCTATCGTTCTTCTGCGCCCTCTTCGGCCTGTCATCAGGCATGTACATCGGCATCACGACGGTCATCCTCGCGGATATGCTGGGACCGGAGAAGCTCAGCTCGTCCTATGGGATCTCGTTGTTCGTTAACGGCGTGTTGCAGCTCGTCGGACCGCCCGTTTGCGGGGTCATCTACGAGAACGTGCTGTCGTACAAGCCGATCTTCTTGGCCTTCGGAATCATCCTGATTTTGGGCACCGCGCTCTGGGCGGTGGTGCCGCTCATCAACAGAAATAATAAAAAGGATATAGAAGCGATATAGGATTCGCGCAGACAATCAACGAATCGATTTAAATGAGCGTTCTGCAAAAGACTTTACGTATTACAATCGCGACAATTCAATTGTTGGGGATTCAACAACATTCTTAGACACTTTTAGACATGGAACGACGAACACTTGAGTCGTTGTTGTATATTTCTAGGCGAATTTGACACTTATGTTTCTTACGATATTTGTGCCCTAGAAAGGAAATCTGGGAAAGCTCGTAAAATTTATTTAATATTAGATTTGAAATATATCGAGCTTTGTATCCACAAATCCAGCACGACCGTGCATATATTATAGTTATATCTGCGCAGCAGGTATTTAGTATTTTTCACGATTCGTGCCATTATTGCTACATAAGATTGCTACATAAATCGTCATGTAACGAAGGCTTGTATAAACTGAATAGCTGTCATTAAGGACAGAACAATTTTGTACTTTACCGAAATGTCGATCGATAAATTGTTGTTTAAGATGTGAAAGGAACATCTATTCGCAAATATTCGTTGATAGAATAGATATATATTATGTATATTAGTAATAAATTTTATACCATCCTGAAAAATGAATATTTTGTAGAAAATATTTTTCCATCAATACGATATTAATATTTTTACAGCATTTATCTTTTTGTTTTTACGAGCTTTTCTGGAACGTGCACACATCAAGCTATTATCAAGCTGTTTGATTCCGTAGCTCATTAACATAAGTTTAATTGTTAAAAATAATTTTTACTGCCAGTAACAAAATAGTATCATTGAGAAATATCTATAAACTTATGTTATCTAATAAAAATACTTAAAACGTTAGAAGATGACGTATAGATATAAGAACATACATACATGTACGTATTACAGGAGTTCCGTTAGACGACTTTGTGCCAAAGTAATCAGGAAAGTTTTTAGTAGTTTGAATCACATTCAGTCAGAGACATTTAGTTATTAAATCATGTAACGGCAATGAATATTCGATTATGCTAAATGTTGAATAGTCGGAAATACGTAATGATATAATATAACTAAGTAGTTAGATCATGAGGACCATAATAACGTAACATTAGAAATAAGTTTAACAGTTCTGAATATTCCTTATGTCTTTGACTCAACGTTTCTCTTTTTCTTCTCTCTCTCTCTCTCTCTCTCTCTTTTGCTATTAATGTTTTTTATCTAAACTAAAAAGATAAGGAAATTGAAAGTAATTTCAGAAGACTCTTTTATTATTTTCATAGAGAATATAGAAGATGTCGGTGCCGTAAGATACACAGGGAAATAGAAGATAAAGAAATATTTTGAATTAAGTAAATAATAAATACCTTTTTTTATCCGATTTTATTGTAGCTTTAGGTTTTTAACTTAATTCTACGAGTTTTCTCTGACACAAGTTTTATGTATGCGAATATAACGAAAGAGAAGGATATGTTGAATGACATTTTTCGTAATCTTTAAAATTTGGGCAATGTTGAGATTATTTACTATATGCAAAATATATTTCTGTACATATCTGTGCGTGTCTTTTGCTCAATTCTCTTGCTTTCATTTGTTGAAGATACATAATTCTCGACTGTATCGCTTGTACAATTAATTTATGTCATACGACAGTTTGTATTATTCTAACATTCCCCTAATTCCTCATCAGTTCAATTCCGCTATTACAATTAATTTGATATATCTAATGCATTTCGCGGATTAAGAAAACGCGTTATTTACACGCATTTATTTCTACTTAGATTATCCAAAAAGTATGCCGCAGTGTTAAATCCTAACAAAATAAGTGTATACCTACGTGGATATATGTATAATGAAAATAAGATCTCTATACTTTTACGGCTGAATTTTTAAAATTTTTGCAATTAATTTTTGTTAGCAAAAGTTTGATAGCGCGTTATCTTTTTCCAAATTTTTAGATTTTTGATATTAAATATTTAGATAATTATACTTTAAATAAAAATGATGAGAAAGTTACAATTAAAAATTTATGATAATTAGATAAATCATAAATAATAGATACGAAATATTGGACGAATGCAATAATTGATTTGTAATCGATCTTTTATATATTATAATAGATTTGAAAAGCGTACGATTCCTCGATGAAATTTTAAGCAATCTTAGTTGTTGTATATAATAACCGATATAAAATATTCAATTAATTATAGATGTGTCGATAATGTAAGAAAAAGTCAAATAGAAAATATCTCTTACAATTCAAATTTCTCTTGTCAGTTTTGTGCAGTTTTTGACGGAAACAAAAGAAGAAGCGGAGTAGCAAGTAGAGATGTAAGATTATTATAATAAGTGCTAGAAAGTGGCAGGTTACGAAGTTGCTGTGTCTCTTCGTCCTGTGAAGGAAACGATAGAGCGAATGCCTTTTACGGAAGTCTGAAATGTTAAGAACACAGTAGATCTTGTTAATCATATGATTTAAGTAATAATGACACATTTCAAATTATCGCAACGATCTCACGAAGAGGAATTACCTTTTTTTTGGATCCATTGAGAAAGTCCTTGTACATTTCCGAGCGTAAATATCTCGAGTAGCTGTCACTTTTCATTAGATGATATACATGCGCCTGGAAAATAACAATATAGAGAAAGTTAAAATATGAAATATATTGTTTATTAAACATCATATATTTGACTTTGTATAATAATATAAATCAATTCACAAGAAATAAATCGTTAATCTTGTTTAATACTCCTTTTGAACGATCTGTTTCACAAGTAGTTATATTCTTATCTTTAATAAAAAAATAAATAAAGTTTAATAACTTTTTAAATTTTTATTTTTTAATTGGTTTTATTGTTTTATTCTTCTATTATATATGATATATCTAATCAAATAATTAAATAACTTAAATTTATACCGCAGCAACGTCGAAGCACCATCGGTCTGGGTTTTCGAGACTTTTTTTGGTAACCTCGTAAGACCGAGAATCGACATTGATGGGACAACTGGCATCCGTGTCCAAAAATTCACGCCATATCTCTTCGACTTTCATCTGGACGTCTTTCTGCGGTAAAGTTTTCAATTCCTGAACGGTTTCCCAAAATCTGCACATATCATAAATGATCTCGTCTCCCTGATGTAAATTCAACATCGTATTACGTGTGTAGATAGATAGTATATAAAAGTGTAAATAATACGAGTATGAAATAGTAACGTTTGTAGCTGAAGAAAAAGAAAAACTTACGCGAGAGTTGTTATACATACTTGAGATTTTCGCCGCTAAATTCCTTATCTAAAAAGCGTATAAATTGTTCTCTACCAACGGGATCTTGTAAGAGTTCTTGAAGACTGAACGCCCACCTCTTTACTCTTCTCATAGGTATTTCTTTCCTACATATTCGTAAATATATAAATATGCGTGGAAAAACATATAGGTAACACATAACGTCTGGATGAAATTTACCACAACTAATGCGAGAATTTTTTTCTCTTTATAATAACGATACTTACGCTAATTTCTCCTGCTCCCACATTTCCGGGCTGTCGGTTATCCATGGATTTGTGAGCTCGGGTAGGGTGAAAAAGGGATCGTACTCCATGTATTGTTCAAAGTACCCAATCAAACTAAAAATATCACAAATATCGATTAGCCTATAAACGCATATAATATACACATTTAGCGAAGCTTAAATAAATTGTACTATTATATCATCGGACAACATGGAACAAAATCTGGAACGGACACACATTTTACTTTCGCTATTTTATACATGGAAATATTTAACCGAGTTAAATCTCGATTGACTTTAACAAATGTTAATACAATAATGTTCCTAAATATATAATATCCCTCGGTTTATTTGGCTAAAACAGATAACTCTATTGACATACGCTTCGGCTACTTTCGAGACCTTGATGACGGGCTTGTGCAGTCTGTCTTTCAGAGTTTCGATCTCCTTCTGCAAAAATTCTATCGATGTGGTCGCACTCGTTTCTGCAGACGGCGATATTTTGCCACCGGCGACGCCCAGTTGCAAATGCTTACTTGGTTGTACGACAGATTTATTACTACGACAAGCTTTCTTAATATCCAGCTCCGTCGTGTTTACGCATCCGGGCTGAAATGTAATTTAATTGACAACCGATATTTCTCTGATAAAAATCTTCCTCTCACTTTTCCCTATTTATAATACAAAAATTCTTGTCCTGATATTTTATCAATGAGAAAACATATATGTAAATGTTCTGTATTTTTATCTATTATTCTAACGTAATAAGAATTTACCATTGGCCGATGTACATCCCAGAAGGCTCTTTCTTGGCTATCCAAGACTTTTCTTTCTAATTTATCTCTTTTCTTGTCAACTTTACTTTGCGCTTCTGCCTGCATAAAAATAAATTCCCATTTTCGCGAAAACATCTTTTGCAATCGAGCCAGATTCTCCGCCTCGTAATCCGCCAATTCCAATCGCGTTTTATTCTGCATCGTCCTTTTGCATAAATAGACAGCTGTAACATTTAACGTAGTAACGCACCAACGGATATATATATCATGATATAGTTACGAAAATATGACACGTATATACAAAGTTTGATATAAATCGCTAAAATTGATAATAAAGTAATACTACGTTTCTTCCTGATCAATTACTTTTTAGCAAGTTGGCAAACAAGAATAATTTTTATAATTATTAAATATATTGCTAATTAAATCATTTGCATCTACGATACAAGTGACAAATTAAATTACACTAACGATAATATTAATATTTACCGTAATCAGTGTTCTCAGGTTCCCAACAATTCGATGGCCAAAAATACGGTGTTTGAAACCTGTAGAATGTGTTGTCGTTCTTTACGGTAAGGCAGTGGTCGTCGATAGGAAAAAAATAACCATGGGATGCCATAAGATGAGCCACGTGAAGAGCCTCTGAATTAACATACCAATATACTACACGTTTCAGATTCATATTAATCACGGATAGAATCTAAGAATTAACATAAATTAAGAAAATAGATCTTCTACCTTGATCATCGATATCCATGCTCTTCATCATCCATGCTATAAGATCTGCACCTGGAATATTATATATCAATTATATATAATTATTTTCTTCGTTAAATCTTCGTTTAAGGTCGCTCGGCCTAAATTTATGACCTCAGAGAGGCTTGCATAAGAAAATTCCATTTTCCGTACATTTCTTTTTAAGCTTAACTTTAAATTGACAATAAAAGATCGTGCTTATGACGTTAAAACACAAGTATCTCCGCCTTTACCTGTAAAAACAGACGGCGTCTTCGTCATGAAGGTCTTAACTGTTTTTACGGGCACACCGGTGAATTCGTCCAACATCTTTTCCACAATCGACTCCATCTAAAAAGTAACATAGTAATTATTTTATGTAAAATAACGAAAGCAATGTCGTTTGGTTTGAAAAATAAATTAAAAGTAAAACATGCAGTTGAAATTAATTTAAATTATTACACTGAAGTCGAACAGGGTATAATTCTAACATTAAACCCTTCGTTTTTATTCGCGATAATACCTTTTTGTAAACAAGGTAATTAGGGGTGTCTTCGGCGCAAGAGGCAGTGACGTTGTGCGTGGGGGTATTGGGGGACAAATCCGGGGAATCGTTCGCACGATCGTCCTCATTTCCTTTATCCACATCTTCAACATGCTCGGGCGCCTTCTTGCTGCTGCTACTGCTGCTACTTTTCTCTATTGGTTTTCGGCGGCAAGCCGATTTTTCGGAGTTCATAGTTACCATATCCACTCTACGTGAAAAACACAACGATTTTTTTGTACAACGTTAACACGTTAAGGACGTTGCGATAAATAGAACGAATAGAATAAATCTGAATAATTAAAGATCGTAATCGCAATGTAATAAGATTGAATTAAGTTTTATGACGGAAAGAGTTTTACAAGTAATTAAATTTATTCGATCACGCTTGAAGATCAGTAAAAAATCCAGGCTTCGAAAAGAATCGAAGATTTTAACATTAAAACTCTCAAGTCTTTTATTTTACGCTAGATCTGGCGTTAGATTTTTTTTCAGATCAATGATATATAAAATTTAGCGCGATACCGCGTTTGTCGAACACACGATATTGCAGAAAGGCCTCGAGATATCTTAATATATTCTTGCGCAATTTTTCTCGCGTGAGCAAAGTTTCCACGACATCGATCCCAGCGACCAATTATCTAATTACGATATAAAATGTTTGTCCGCGGCAGACCTGACGGACCGTTTTTTCACACATGGATACTTCCAATTTCCAGTAGATTTTTTTTCCCCAACGAGAATATCAAAGGACAGATAGAGTTCTTGAGATATAAAACAATATCATCCGAGATTGGCACATGAGACAACATCTATCGCTACGGCCTATTTCACAGCCCACAACCCCCCCCCCCCCGCCCCCTCTTCCCTATCGCCGGATACTCGGCGATGGGAGGGTGATTGCGAAGAGGATATCGGTAAGGATATTGTCACCCAACACGTCAATCTCGATGCCGAATAGAAACGCGAAGAGATTAAATAACGAAAGCAAATCGCGCACGAATTCTCGCACCGTTTCGCTATTATACAAATAATATTACCGATATGCTTCATTATAAATTGTAGTTATTAAAAAATGAAAATATTATTGACAGAAATATTTTCTTAAATCTAATAATAATATATCGTATTAAAAGAAATATCCGGGATCGATACTGCTTTTTTATATTTAGCTGGAAAACCTACCTGAATTGTAAAACACCTCGATCCGCCAAGCTGTTCTTAAATCGCGCGAAATTCACGTACTGCCTAGCACGAGATTTATCGACGCGTCATCATCCCTCGTCATATTCGTATAATAAACACCGTAAATTCATGTGATATTTCTTAAAAAAATTTTCGATCTTTTTGCTCGGAGAACGACGACGATCAACGAGAGTACATCGAGTTTGCAGCATCCGCCTGTCGGGGATGTACGCGGGCGTCGAGCGACGGCGACGGCAACCCTTTCACTGTGCGTCACACAACACGGAGCACCCTCGTTGGAAAATAACGATAAACGAGCATCATATTTGCATCCAAGACCGATCGAGGAGCCTCCCGAACGAATCTGAGCGAACGTACTCCAAATTCATATCTCTCGACACTTGGTAGAGAAGCGGACGCTTCGGGCTCGCACTAATCATCGACTTTCACATCCCGGATAACGACACAAAGAGAGACAGAGACAGAGAGAGAGGGGGAGAGAGAAAGAGGAGAGAGGGAGAATGGAGAGAGAGAGAAAGAGCAATTTACGATATAATCGCACCTCACCAACGGTAGTTCGCGTGTTGACCCGTGCGAGGAACAGGTCAAGATAGTAGGGGGGTAAAAGTGTGCGCGCGCGCCCCTTTCATGATCTACGCAGCGGTTTGTGTTTCCTAAGGGCGCACATTAGATTGACTATCCTCATGCCGAGGCTGCAAGTGCGCAGGTTTCGAGTGCCGTTTTGGTCTTGTGCCAGAGTGAGAATCGAAATCCCGTACAGTTGAGCGGCGAGCCGGGAATAACCAGTCGATAAAACGAGACGCGGCTGCGCCCCGCGCGCCGAATCGTAATGTCGCGCTGAAAGCGTACATACGTCTCAATTTTCAATTTCCACTTGGAGAGATTCGTATTTTAACAATCAATAATGTAGACTGTAGATGAGTAAATCAGTTTGAAAACATGGAATTTCAAATAATGCAACCTCCTTCTTGATCATGTTCTCCTGATACTTTATCTGATTTTCAAGATTCTTGATTTTTGCGATTCAAAATTCCGAATTCTCGGAACCGCAATTCTTAAAAATTAGGAGAATTCTTGGAATTTTAAATAATAGAACCTCCTAGCTGATTATGTTTTCCTGAGACTTGATCGATTTCTGCAAATTTAAATTTTTATGTACATTAAAATACCCAAAAAGAAATTCTGAGAATTGTTTCATATATTGTGATGTACTTAGGATTTATTATTCAAATAATACACGATTCTTTCTCCAAAATGTTATTAATAGAACTTTTGTACATTTTTACTACATTGCGCTATTATTATCGCCAAACGCCTAATCTTGCTTAGTGTCTAATTTAGCTGTCGATTGATTTTCCTGAAACATATAAATGGCAAAAGATAAATATAATATCTATAAACATTGAAAATTGACGTTCAGAATAAAGTAAGATTATTACACAAGCAAGCAAGACAAAAATTGTCAGTAAGAAATATAATAGGAAAAAACGAGCATAGGCACCTAAATTTGCTTTCATTCAAACCAACTTCTTCGCGAGCGTACTTCTGTATTTTTATCTGTCAAAGGCGCGGATGGTGTTTCAATGATCGGTTCAGAGATTTCTTCAGTGTTACGAAATGTTACATGTTTTGTTTTATCTCCATCGATGTTTGCATAAACTAAATGCATAACAATTTTTTAAGAGAAGATACTCGTGATAATATTTCGTAATATATCAGCAATACGGTCGCAACATATAAATTATTTTTGTAGCATGTATTTGTTTCCTATTTGATTTTTTAACATATTTATTTGGATAATCAACACTTAAAAGCAAGAGATTCTGATAGCACAATTAAGCAATGCAGGTATGAGGGAGGGACGATGCAATAGAGAAATTTCTTCGTTGCATCCTACCTCCTTGTTACCGCTTAAAGATGCGTATGTATTCTGTGCGAAGCTACCAACAGCGGTAGCCACTGCTGAACCTGTGACAATCGTTAAATCTGCAAATTCTGAAAAAGATGTTGGCATTTTCGGCATTTCCGGTATTGTGATTTGCAGCTGTCGATTGTCACCCGGTTTGACTGAAATTATTTAGAATAAACCATCGATATATATATCCATGTATCATTGACAATCGTGTCCCGTCTTCACTTTTTTAAAAGCTAGTTTCAACGTACATTTATTATTTATACAAAAACCATTTGCTAAAAATAATTTAATTGTTTCTTACCGCCATAAATAAAATTATAGCCGACGTTCACGTAATGTTTAGCCATGTCGAATCCCTCTTCTGCCTTCTTCGGATAACAGATAGCTGCTATAGAAAGAGCACCCGCGCTAGAATATACTATTCGTTTGAATTTGCGTCCTCTAAGTCCAAGCACTAACCCAGCTATTCCACCAATAGCGATAGCGCCCATTCGTGGCATAACGTTACTTTCCTCACGTAGATAATCTAAAAGAGCTGCAAAAAAAAGATAATTAAATTAAATTACTATCGTACGACAATATAATTCTATAAAGCACGTTTAAATGTATGCTTAGCTAACACTCACATCTGCTGTGTTCAAAACCAATGTCGATGGTATCCGAAACGACGCCAGTGTAATGTTGATATTCTGATGCAACTGCTTGAATCGACTTGCGAATTTTAGATACGTTCTGCTCCAGGACTGAGGGTGAACATTCTGTACTGTAAAATTAACAATAAACATTATATAAAATAAGTGATAGAAATGTCAATTCCAATATGTGCTTTTGGTAAGGAATACTCAGTTACACTTTCTGCTTCTCTAACAGTTTATCACAAGATTTCTTAATTGTGAGTTAAATCTCTTGTCTGCGACATAATAGTTATAATTGGAATTACTTGCGCTTTACCATGGGATCTGTTTAGCGTAATCGTCTTCAAAGGTATAAATAGGTAGTTCGGATGGGCGAATTAGTTTCTTGACTCCCGGATCGTTACTGTACGACATTCCGTCTTCTGACGGATTTGCTGGTTTCACCGCGGGTACCGCACATAGCCCGCATGGCATTAAGATTTTCTTGAAAAACTTGACACATAAACAAATATGTTTAGTATTAGTTACCAATCATTTCACATATAGGCTTACAACATACAAATTTATGTAATTACATAATTACCATTGCTTGAGTTTCTCGTGAAAACTTGATATATAAATTATGGTATATAAATTATGTGAAAATTTAGTACATAAATGGTGTCTGTTATATTACGGCTCGTCGTGCATTAATGAATTATATAAAAACTCATAAAGTTTTACAAAATTGTCAACTATAATCTGTTAGCAGAAGACGTAACCCGCAAACTAACCATAACCATATTCGAGAATAAAAGCTAAGACAACTCAATACCTAGAGCTGCGTTCCATATGTCCTAGTTTTAATTCAAAATTTTGACAATATACGATAAAATCTTTTCTATTGCATACGTTTTTTTTTTTAAATTAGAGATTTTTGTCGAATTTTTTTTTATTTTGCACTCATTTTATTTTTATAGACTTACAGAAATATCAGCCTTATTGTCATAAGAATATGTATGCCCCTAAAGATAGAAAATCTTTAAAAAAGTATCAGACGTATGAACAATTGCATTAAAAAATGTGCATTTAATTTTGGAATATGACGAGGCAGAAATTTGCACTGCCATCTTCAAAAATTGTCTACGCAAACAAAAGAAAGAGATTTTCTTTCAATTAAATTTATGTAAGTTTTATAAAAATTGACTTTTCTCCCAATTATGTAAATTTTAATTTTACATTTCGAAGTTTGCATTACGCAAAATATTATTTTACAATTAGTTGATATTTCTAAAAACGCTATTTCTCAAAGTAATGCTCTCTATCGAATATATCTGAATAAAAAATTTTGAGTTCTCTGTACGATCATGAAGCCTTTACATTAAAATCGAAAGATAGCTAAGGTTATTATATTTCTTTTTCATACTTTAATACCGGTTCTACCCAGCTCTACCAAAGAACCCGGCTGATACTCGTCGCAACGATGAACGGGTTCTCTGCAAGTTATATCTTTACCAAATACGTTCCCAATAGTGAATTCCAGGATTTTGTGTACAACATCATTCATACCGTCGTGTTTTAGAATAAAAGATTGCAACTCTTGTATTTTTATGTGTTCTGAAACTCAAACGTTCGGTTGTGCCTACAATCCTACATATCAAGGTTTAGCTTCGTTTCTTTTTTCCAAATTATGCCGAATTCAGACCGCATCCTATGACTGTTGATTAAAGAATATAGCCTAACATAAGTAATCTTTAATTCTAATTACAAAATACACATTCGATATGTTTCAGTTATGGCATTTTATCCGAATTTATTGTAACAAATAATACATTATATTAACGCTTTTCTTTATGTATTTGTGTTGGCATTAGGTCCACGTCGGCGGCCGAAGGTTTGGACGACGTTGACAAACCTACGATTGTATTGAATACGTCGTTTAGCACGGCCAGTCTTCTTTTTGCTCTTTTCTTGCTTTTCAACCTAGTAACATACATTAATACATTAATAAAAACCTGCATCATATTTTACATTTAATTTATAAAACTAAAGTTTCAAAACTCATTTTGTTTAAAACAGAGACATATTTAATATATTTATATAAATTTTCTTATTTATAAATAACAATAAGCCCAGAGAATAAATTCAATTAAATAATGAAGAATGCAGCGCATCTCTTTACCTTAGGTGTCTGAGCCTTTACTTTGCCAGCGCGCGCCAAAGAACCATGAACCTTTCCTAAAAAAAAGAATAAGAAAAACAGTTATTTCATAACCAATCTGCAGTTTCTTGCGCTTCATGCCTTCATAAATATAATATTATTTGAGAATTAAAGGATTTTTCTCAAATATATAACAAATACGATCGGCAGTTTTGATTGATTACATATAAAATATTTAAAATATCTTTTAATATGCTATGCTAAATTTGTGTATTTTATTTTCTACGTGTTAACTTACCTCCCAGTAAGGGTACAGTCAACTCGAGTACATTCGATGGAAGTTCATTTACGCAAGTTTCATCCACTAGTAAACTTCCGTTGCAATAAAGGCTGAATTCGTTTTCAATACCTTGCAGACAGGCAATTTTTTCCTATAAACAAACCAATCGTTGTAGTATATATATTCTAAATGTTTTTTCTTTTCAATATTCTTTATTAGGTAATTTCCTCTAAAAGACTATTATAAAATAAAAATCATATTGTAGTAAACTTATCAACAGTGAAAGTTAAAAACAACTTTCTCTTTCACATAAATTTACACATTATTTTTGCATTAATGCTCCTTCTAGCATTATAAAGTAAACAAATGCTAGTTTATCATTTTAATGCTACATCCTTGGACGTTATAGACAAATTCAGATATCAAGTTTGATATATGCTAAAATAATATTATTAAAAAAAAAAACAATACCTTTATATTTTGTATCTTCGCATTGTCTTCACATTCGACGATAGTCGTTTCCTGCCCACGAATTTGCAGCTGCATGATGCTCGTATGTGCGATACTTTCAGAGGTATACACCAAAAGCCTGCGATATACGAGTTCGAATAATTAAAAACTATTATTTTAATATTCAGCTGAAGGAAGAAAATCGTATAAATGGCGGAAGGCACGCGAGCACCCTGTTTTTAGGTTAAGAATTCATGGGCATATGCTGAACGACTCTTTGGGATTATGAAGCTTTCAATACAAAGTATTTAATGACGAATCGTTAACGCGCAAATGTCTACGGAGCACTACGCGATTTCTAATCACCGTTTCGCACACGATCGTTCGATATATTAAATATAAATTGCACTCACCTTGCCAAACACGCACGCGACGGAATCCAACAATGGAGAGAAGTGGAGTGGGGAGACACCGGGGAGACGGGAGACTGGAGAGAAGCTTCTTCCTGTTTCTCGAATGTAGACAGTTGTCAAAATGGCTGCCAAGAACCAATCGTCTATCACCGTATTATCACATTTTCCAAAAGCTAAACGTCGATTGGTCACTGGGATTTCGGCGCGTTCCGAAACTCATCGGAGAAGATGTTGCAAAAGTCCCTTGTTGCGTTCACGGCGCGAGGCGGGGGGATCAAGTCTGGTAATTAATTTTTCTTTTATTGGTATAGTTATTTGGTATTTTCGGAAGACCCTGCCCTTGAGTTTCAATACTTTCAATTCGGTAAATTCGGTTTCTGGGATCGCTCTCTTGTTCTCGTTGACTCTCGCTTTTTTCAGCTCTTTCTACGGATGCGTTAATATTGTGACAGATATATTGACTCCTACTAGTGCGAAATTAAACTAATTAGCATTGGAAAATGTCGGTCAAACTAAGTACAAATACTTCGCCGTCAGTTGAATTAAGCTCCTACCGTGATCAACATTTTAAGGTTCTTTTTTTTACAGTTAACCTTAAACTATCTAGTGAATAATTTCAATCTTATTTTCATTACATTTTATTCTTTTGTTACATTTTTGCGCAGATTGGAATTTTAAATTCTAATTATTGTAATTATGTATTGTCGTAGTCAACACTTGAAAGGATTGGAATCAGTGTAGTTACATGCAATTGTATGTGTTTCTGATGTGTGCAGTTTTTAACTTTACGAATAACCGTTCCTTTTTATCCGCATGTAGGGTACGAGAGCCGAGCAGGACAGACTTTTAAGGAATTCCACTACTTTGTACGTGGGCAACCTATCTTTTTATACCACCGAAGAACAGATATACGAATTGTTTTCCAAATGTGGCGACATCAGGCGTATCATTATGGGCCTTGATAAATACAAGAAAACGCCGTGCGGTTTCTGCTTCGTTGAATATTATCTAAGAGGCGACGCTGAGAATTGTATGAGATACGTAAATGGTACTCGTTTAGACGATAGAATAATCAGGACCGACTGGGATGCTGGCTTTATCGAAGGTAGACAGTACGGTCGTGGCAAGACTGGAGGACAAGTAATTATCCTTTAACATTTTAATTAATATCTTATTAATTTAGGCACAAGGTATGAGATGTTATGTGATGTTATTTTATTTTCTAGGTGAGAGATGAATATCGATCAGACTTTGATAGCGGACGAGGTGGTTATGGTAAAATAATACAACAGAAAGTAACGCCTGTCTCTGACGGTGGATTTGGTCGGTGAAATTATGGAATATGAGAGGCTGTGTATGAATGGCCATACACGTGCAAGTGTTCAACCTGTATCTCATTGATTATTTATATGTGACTGAAGTAATTACTTTTAAGTGTAAATATAAATGTTTAAATAAGTTTATTCTAAGGAGTAATGAATGTAGGAAGAACGATTCATACATACATAAAAAAGTTTTGATACTTGGACGAACATGTTTCGCATCATGTTAGAACCGAGAAAATTGTAGATTTATGAACTTGTTTAATTCTTGAATGTAATCATTCACACCATTTTTTTGCTCGTTGAATGAATTAATGTAACGAATCTTGGAAATACGAGAAAAATAAAACGCATTCTTTATAAAATAAATATTATTTTTTAATCAATTTAACATTTGTTGTGTATTCAATTGTTATGCAAATATTATGTAGAAAGTAATAGGCAAAAATAAAAAAAATTAACAAATAGTTCATCGTGAGATTTCTGAATTTAACTTGTTACATTTTGTATTTCTATAAATAATAAATATGTTGGTAATAAAACTTACAAAAAAATAAGATATACGTACATGCTATTAAAATATAAATCTTTGAGACTCTAAATCACATATTAATGCTTATCATTATCGTTAATATTTGTTTTATTTCTTTTAGAATTAGATTTTGATCTCGTGGTGGCAACAATATCCTCATCGTTGCTATTTTTCTGAGATAATTTTTGCTTGATCAAGCTTATAAAATCTGTGTCATTTCTGTTGCAATTTTTTAACTTATGGATTTCTAGACTTTTGCGAGTAATTGTTGAAGATGTACGTTTTTCATTATTTGCCAAATTGACTGCATTATTTTCGTGGTTTAAGGTACTGTTAATTACAATAGTGCGACTTCTTTTTTCTTTTCTACTAATATCAGAGATTTCTTCAGTTTCTGGCCTATTAACAATCATTTCATCACTAACATCAGAATCTACAAACTTTTCCGTTTCTTTCACATTTTTCTCAGTTTTTTCTACAGTTTCGTTGAACGATACTCGACTCTTAATTTCTTGACTGTACATTTCTTTATTGAGAAGCGTATTCTCATCTTCATCATCTTTTTCGTGATTAAATTTTTCTACTAGAAATTCTGCTGTATGAATTGGAGCAATATCTTCCTCCGATACATCCAGACCAAGCGTGTTCTTGTTAACGACTCGACCTCCATGCAGAAAAGTAGAGATGTTTTTACGCCGCCACATTTTGGAAGTGCTGGGTATAACTTGCTTGCTTCCCTCAAAGCAGAATTCCTTCACGTTGACGTTGGTAATTTCGCCTTTCAAAAAATGCAGATACTTGTTTAATGCCGTGTGAAAATGCAGCTTGTCCACCATTCTGGGAAAATTTGCACATCGTGCGCTGCTCGACGGTGTTACCCAGATTGCGGTGTCGCCAATGCGCTCCGGTTGTAATCCAAAATGAAGTTTGGATTTAGTAGCAAATGTGATGTTAGCGAATACTTCGTAGATGCATTTACCGTTGAACACCGCAATTCTGGGTTTGTATAATCTTAATTTCTCTTCCACCACTTTGGCACCTTCCTTGAGTTCTGCTCGCTTGAGTTCTACGGCAGATCTAGTGGGACGTGCTACGATATTTGTCAAGCCAATACTGTATTGCAAGAGTTTGTAATCCTCTTCGAAGCTGACAAGTCTCGGTGTTAGGCCAGACTCGTGTAGAAGCTTGTAGAAATGATTACCGGGACCTGCATAATATCTACCACGGTGCGCCGCCGTTAAACTCGGATTGATTCCGACAAACACTATATCCAGATTCATCTCCAGATAATCCTCCAACGTATATAATTTTTGCACTTCCTCTTCCGACAATCCATCGAATCTGTCTATCTTTTTCTTGGGTCGTTCTGAAACTTCTGATGGCCTTCTTTTGAGCTTGGTCAAGTCAAGAGGCATGGTATCCACACAACGAGGAGATACATGCAGGAATCGATCTGTAAATTTTCGTATCCCTGATGTTAAGAAGTTTGATTATAAACATTTCTTTATTAGCAAGTAAAGTTTTATTTATAAGTTCTATTTATAATGAAGTTTAAGATGAAAGTATTTAATTGCGAAGCCATACTTATAATAATCGAAATAATCGATATTCAGTGTCACTTTTTAATTTAAAAAGAATTGTTTCATACTTTTTTGAAAAAAGTTAACTGATGTTTTACAATCAAACGAATATTCTTGATGAAAGAATGAAAAAAATGTGCGATAAATACGCGTACTCCTTGATATAAATCTTTTTAAAACTCACATATTTTATGTATCTCGAGAAACATTCCGTTCCATTTTTTTCATAATTTCGATTGAATACAGTAACCTAACCTTATAATATTTTGTTAGGACACAAGTAAATGTATCACAAGGTCGGCAAGTAAATACGAAGACGACTACATATGAATACAAATGTGAGAGCGCCCTCATTTAGTCGGAACATTGATAATATCAGAATATGTTATCGATATTATCGGTTTTGGGTAAAGAGGAAACTAAATCATTAATTTATTACTGCAATATAAGAATAACGCTCGAATAATCTTTTATAGCGAGAAATTCCTAATTTTTCGTAATAAATTTGAAAGTTGAGAAATAAAAAAACATTTTTTGTAATAATTTCACGTAAAATAAAAGAGAACACAATGTCATACGTTATCATGAATATAAAAGTGAAATATGATAGGTGCTTTCCATTTACATCAAAGCTCAGATAAATCTTACTTCTGTCTTTCTTTAACATGAATGTTGAAGAAAGACAGAAGTGAGATTTATCTGAGTTTTGATGTAAATGGAAAGCATCTAATATATATCCTCCGATCCTTTCTTTACATATCAAGAATTTTATCTCACTTTGCTGTATGAAATTTAATTAAAATAAAACAACAAGAAGTTACTCGTTGTTTTATAATGCTTTTGACAATATAACTTTAAAAGTATGCATTCTCGACGATAAATTATACCGTTACGTTCGCATTATCCTGTCGAGTGGAATTCGATAGCAAGAAGAATCGTTTCCCTAGGAACGAGCAAACAATGTTGGAAAGGTGGTCTTCGTGAATCATTTTTCATCAAAATATTTCTCATTTAATTTGCGGACCGTTTTCTTTTTCGCTCCGAGCAAAATCGCGCGTTGCGGTATGGCGAAGACCGAAACGGACGTAAATCACGTGCCGTTTCTTCCCACCAGGTTTACCACGAGGTTTACGCTGGACGAGTGGCATCTCGACAATCAGTTCAGGTATACCAGTAAGTCATGCGTGCGACATTACGCGAAATTACGAAAAATCCAGCTAAAATTGCCAGAGGTTCTCCGTACAGAACTTACCAAGTTGCGTCCGTTTGAGATTGGAAATAGTGCTCTATTCCGGAAATGCATAAATTATAGATAAGGCAAATGAGTTTTTATCAGAAAATCGCGTGCACACGTCAGAGTCCGGCCTCGTTTTTTTTTCTTTTTTTTTATTCGATATATGACTGTAAATTCGACGAATTCAGATATCGATGTTCCGAGGCGCAAAGGGAATTATCGGATCGGCTCTTAGCCGAGGCGACAGTTGCGTGCGAATCAGCCAAGGAAATCGTAAAAGCCAATAAGGAGGAGACGGATCATCGATTGCTAGAAAAGCTCAATGACATCGAATTTCGTAAGGGGGAATTGCTGCGAATAAGGAAGGACGGTGTCCTGGAAATCGATGCGCTGTCCGTATACAGAGAACGAATTACGGACGTGCTGAAGTCCGTGAAAAGAAACGCTCTCGCGATTTGCGAAAAATGTCTCGTTGCCAGGTGATTATATAATATTACGATTTCTTTGCTGGACTTTGAGTAATTTGTCGATGTCGAGCAAAGTCCGCTTTCTCCTAAAATTAATTTTCTGAAAATGACAGGGAACGTAGACTGGGTATCGACTTGGTTCACGACGACGTCGAGAGGAGCCTGTTGAAGGAGCGCGAGGTGATACAAGGTGCGGAGAGTCTGTTGGGTCGAGTCTTGAAGGAGACTCGCGAGCAAATTCGTAAATTGAAAGCCACGCTGTATCACATCGATCAGGATCTCGTAAATAAGGACAGCAATTTACGTATCGATCGTCGTAACGTGACTTTTAAGGAGACCGATTTCAATCTGAGTGTCCACCACGATACTTCACGCCTCGACCAATCGTGCGTAATATTGTGAGGGAGTATCTCTAAGTATTGCATATGATTTACATACATTATCATCGGAATACAATTTAAAACACTTAACCTTTAGCCGCGCCTATATTGTGTTATGATGTCAGATATAATTAAACGTTTTTTTCGCTTTATGTGCACTGCAATAAATTAAGCTTTTGTATGTCGTTGTTTGTGTTTGATAATAATAATGGTATAGGAAAATATACTTAAAAAAAAGTAAGAGGTTTGTGCAAGATTAACTTAGCAAGTGTCTCTCAATTATATATATCTTATAATATAGCATATAATCTTAATTGCATGAAATATTCAAGAATATTGAAGTCACGTACAAAGGGACTGTTAAACGCAGGGTAGTAGAGTTAAATGAATGGGAACTACAAACGAATAGCAATGTTATCGATGCAAATAAAGAAGTGAATAAGGCAAAGCAATTGCGCTGTTACATCGATACGATAATTAAGCAAACAATCGATGACTTGGCTAGACAGAAGGATGTCACAAACAAAGCTTTCAGGCAGCGTATCGAACAGACCAGAGAAGCAAAAACCAAATTAGAACTTCAGCATTCGGAGGTGTGTAAAAAAAAAAAATAAATAAAAATAAAAGGGATTTCCACAAAAATCTCGCAGATAAATCTATTACTAATATTTAATAACAAATTATTAAGATTTTGCAAAGCAGTTTGCGGATTTCTGCTTTTAAAATCTGTAACAAAATCTTGAGAGAAGAATATCTCCGATTAATTTTTGATGGAAGAAGTTTGAACAATTGAGGAAAATAAATAACATTTTAAGCGTTTTATTACCTTAACTCAAAAGTTTTGCTATTACTTGTCTTATAATTTTATGCAATTTTCTTTGTAGATAATAAAACAGGTTACCGTCATGACAAGCAATATCACGCACATAAAAAAGTCAATAGCTGATAAAGAAGGTTACATGGCTCTGGCTCATACAAGGCTAGGTCATCGATGTCAACGTCCAGGAATCGAACTCACCCAGGACTTGGTCGAAGCCAATCTCGTGAAGGAGATACACGAATTGCGGAATGTCGCGGCAAACCTCCAACGAATGCTCTGCGAGGTTTGTGACATCCGTTTCGTGTCTTGCTGTAGAGAATCTTAACTGTACAATTCCAACATTCGCAACACTAATTTGATAAACTTTGCGCAAACTGTAATCTTTTATTATTACGAGATATATATATATGTTGCAGGCAGAGGCGTCGCTACGTTTCTTACTCAAAACGCAGATTCAACTCGAGGAAAACATTAACGTGAAGACGAATACTTTGAAAATTGATGAGGTCGAATGTATGACTTTACGTCAGAGTATGGATTATCATGCGTATTAGAAAGCTAATATTAAAGCATCTCTTTTATAATCGCAACATCTATATTTAGAGCTCCTCATCTATATCCACAAATTCCGAATGTAATGTAATAGTACTTTATACCCGCTAAAATTTTTATGTCATATAAATTTAAGTCATATACATGTAAGGGGATACACATTCGAATTAAAAGTATGACAAATAAAATGAGTCATTGGGGCTTTTAATCTCTCACCGCAGGTATACTAGATTACGATTGTTGAGATACCGCGTGCTAAATTTTTTTTAATTCTGACAAGGAAAAATTATTCATACTTACTTGTAGTTTCTTTGACGTTAACAAAGTCACATTGTGGTCTGTTACAACACCCTTGACAAACAAGTTTTTTATAATTTTATAAGCAAAAAATTATAAGTATAATATAGGGATGTGTGGAATAGTATAGGAATATATATATAAATATAATGATGTCGCGGAAATGAATTTGTGAATGTCTCGCGAAAGGCGAGGAAACAAAAGTTATGAAACGAGGTCGTGTACCATTGACGCTTCTTCTTGCACTTCTTGTCGGTGCAATCATAGTCACGCGTAGTTGCAATCTCTCCTTTCCCTCTCCTCGTCGAAATAAAGCGAAAGACACGACGGATAGGCGAGTGGATGGTTTCAAGAACCGGTACACGCACGTGAAATGAAGGAGGGAGGGCGCTTTCATGAGCGGTGTAACCGAATTGCCGTTGCTATTTCATTTTAGTCCGTATACTAACAGGAATCGAATCGGTCAGTGGATGTGCATAAGTATACTTGTTCCGTTCGCTGTAAAGAAGCTTATTTTCTTTGCGAAATACTCTCTTACTTTTTACCAAATCGTCGAAGAATTCGCGGTGCGGTGTGCGGTGTCTCGCGAGAACTACCCGGTGTGTATGTGCGATGTGCGCGTTGTAAAACGTGAATTTTGCGACAGCGAGTTGTTCTTTAATTAATAATATATATCAAAAATATCAAGAGATGTTTTCACTGTCAATTTTAGTTCCTGTTATTTCGATCTTTGTGTGACATTTATTAAATGTTAAATTAATTGAATAAATTGGATAATTTAAATATTTATTTATTACATCTTTGTGTTTTTTAACGTTATATTACAATGGCGGATACTATATCGACGATATCAGTTAATCACAACAATGGAATAAACATTGGGCACATGGCCGACAAAGATTGTGTAAGTATTTCCATACAAATATACAGATAAGACAGCGAGACAATAATTGTGTAAGCAATTTAAATATTGCTTAATGTATCTATAATGTATGAATATAATTATATTAAAAATATAAATACATTTTTCCCTTTTAAATGTAAAAGTTTGTTAAAATATGATCGGTACTATTTCTTTTATAATATTAACACATGATCATCCAATAATAGTTATTAACAAATAAAGCTTAAATCCAGAGAATAATTATTTAATTATATTTATATACAAGATACTTTTAAAAATTATTTAGGTATATAGAAACTAGCATGCCCCGCGGCTTCGCTTGCGACCTCATATGCATGGCTCTCATACGCGTAGTTTTTGCTATTTTGCTATTTAGTCTCTACTCAAAAAGAATAAATACCGGGTCAAAAAATAACATCACAGAAAGATTCGGTCAATTATTTCCCGAAAGCGACTTTCGATATTGATTAATTGATTAATATTTAACATATGAAATATTGAACATTTTTTATGCAAAATTTTTTTATGCAAAATGTTTAAATTATAGTCTCTGCTCTAAGTCTTCTTACTAAGTATACATATATAGTATACATATAATTGATACCTGATAAACGGGTTTTTATTTGTTGAATAAAAACCTTCTTGTAGAAACCAGTTTATTGACCTACCGCAATCTTGCAATTTAACTCTTGCTCGCTACATTCCGGTCCAGAGTGGACTGCTAAATGTTTTTCAATTTTTTAGTATTTTCTTGAGCTGATGATATTACCATAATCAACTTGTTCAGACTCTGTATTTGCAATTCTTACATTACAAGCTTAAAAATACTAATTAGTATGAAAATAACGATGCGATAAAATCGAGCAGTCTCACTGACCGGAGTATGGCGAATTAAAAACTCGAAAATAAGCGTGACTAGCCTTAGGTTAATGTATTTAAACTTTCGACGTACTTTTGGCTTACGTAATAATTTTTTAGCATGCGATTTCTATTATACATGGATCTACGTAGACAGATTTCTTTAGTACTTGATTCGGCATTCAAATAAAAATAACCGCTGATGAATCGAGGACATCTTAATACTCTAAAATAAACGTACCTTCACTTTTTATATTCGTAGGATTCTTGAAATTTCTTACGATTTATAATCTTGCTTTAAAAGTATATGCCGTTTTTAAAATATATATTTATATTCATATACGACGATTTGCATGAGAGAAATGCAATGTTTCTTTTGTGATATAAGTAGTTCTTTTTAGAAATGCCTCTCTCTCTCTCTCTCTCTCTCTCGACGTTTCGACATTTTATTTCATGCATTATATTATATGTTAATAAAAACTTGGCGCTGCTTTCATGAATTTATTGGCTTGTTTTGGTCCGAAATGTTAATAGAATTTAAAGTTTAATAAATTACCGCCAGATAATGAAAAATTATAATTTCTACACACTGCGTAATACAAATTTTGCAAGAAACAAAGATTAATAGTAAATCGCCAATTTTTTCATTAGATATCGTGCAACTGTTTTCGTTACCATAATTGCTGTGGCGTGTATTTTATTATTACCCAGGTAGCAGAATAACGTCTAAAGACGTCTTAATGACGTCTAATTGACGTTATTCTGCTCATTAAGACGTTATTAAGACGTTATTTGACGTCACTCTGCTACCTGGGTATGGTCTTTAAAGTCTAAGATAAATAAATTTCCGATTTCTATGGCTTATTGTTAGATATAATTTTACTAAACGCCGAATCATGATTGAAATCGAACGTAATGGTGCGAGGTTTATGCAATCAGATCGTGACCCTGCATATATGTTAACTGTTCCGCGGAACAGTCGGAATAAAGTTTCGCGTTGAGAGAGAAATAAGTATATTTCCCGTGCGTGTTACCTTCTATATGATATTTTATCGTTTTCTCGACAAAGCGATACGTATGAATAATAAAACGAAATCCAAGAAAGACCGAAAATATCGCCGCGATGAAAAGGAGCAGAGATGACGAGCCATGATGAATTTATTTTGATATTCTTAAATTCGGATGAGTAATACAAGTGAAAACCGGATTGAAATATTTATGATACTTTTTTTGTATTCGTTGCATTAAATATTGATTTAATTTTTAATTATCTGTATATATACATGGGATTCTTATGTTTTAATCGACCCGCTTCTCCAAAATTAAACGAAGTATAAAATTGCGGTTTTCTCAGAGTAAAATAATGATTTTTTTTTTAAGAGAACACATGTTTGTAAAAAGAAAAATGCAATTTGTACACTATGTGAACTCGAATCAATGATCAGAATTGTTATTAATTATATTGTTCAAAGATTGCCGCTTTTCACCACGAGATAGCACCACGATATTATCGTATTATTGATTATTTATAGTACAGAGAGTGCGGAAGTCTGTCCGCTGGGTGAAATCTGCCGCGAACCGTCTCCGGGCGAATTACATAAAGCTTTCGAGTTTTATCTTTTCAACACGTTCGTGCGTCGTGCGGATAGAGGGATGTCAATCGTCGAGCGACTCAGCCGCGAAGTGCCGCGAAGGGGGTAGCATTCCCGATGGCGATTCGAGCGTGACGTGTTTTCACGCGCGGTAAACACGCGATTTAAAAGGATCCTGCAGAAATGCGTGTTGGCCCCGTTTAAGACACACGCCGCATGGAGATATAGCCCTATTTTTGTAGTAAGTAGTTTCACGCATGGAGTGATCGAGCACGTTGCCTCCAATCCGGAAATGCTCTGAACCGGAAGTTAATATGGGACTAATGGGAGTAGAGCGCGCGATCTTATCGGCAGCAAGAAACGCGCTAATCAGATTTTGCGATCCTTGGTTCTATGTGGCGACGTTAGATGGCGCCACATACCCTGTTTTGAACGTGAGGCTGGTATTTTTTTTTTCAATATATAAATAAAAAAAGTTTGACACTTGGAAAAGTGTTAAATGCAAATCAAAATATAAATTAATATGATTATTAGATTATTCCTACATTTTGATAGGATTCTAATTGAGAATTTATATACATGCAGATATAGATAGACTCGACTGAAATTTTGCAAAGGAAAAGAAATACGATATTCGGGAAGATATTCGATTTTTATGTATCAATTGTTAGTTTTTACGTTTATATTTTTTTTAATGTAATTCGTACGACACTTTTTATTATTAGTTTTTAAATAACGCCCAAAAAAAATTCTATAAAAGATAATTAATATATATTAAAGATTAATTACTTATCTACTGGATTGCAATGTATATTTGGCATTTTTCTAGGCGGAACTAACAGCTAGTGCGATATCTTGCAAAAGTCGGACCACTCTAACTGGGTCATACTAGCTAGAAATACAGTTGATAGGAGAAACTAAATTGCTAGAAAGTAGTCAGCTAAGCTAGAAACCTTACACTGTGCTCTAGTCGATCAACGACTGGAAAATCTTTGCATAGAAATACCCGGCGCACGAATAAGTTAATTGCGAATTCTGAGAATGTTTAATTGCAGCAAAAAAGAAAAGGAGTCTTTTCGAAGTCTTAATCTTTCGATGTCGATCTTGCAAGATATACGGAGCATAGAATCTGGTTTTACAAACTTGTCACAAAAATTTAAAGAGGCAAAAAAATTTCCAGTCAGTCTAATTTAATACTTGATTGAACGGTCATTAAGTTTCTATCGATATGATTAATTTGTTTCACTGATTTGATTGTACGCGTTGCTTTAATAAAACTACGATTACACTATCATCGCAGCCTTTCTACGAGAACAAAATAATCGCTTAATTCTTATCGCGTCGCGATGACTCGCAACTTCAAAGGTCGAAAGGGCAATCCCGTCATTCTCGTCCCGTTTCAAATGCGTCTCGGAGAACACATTCGTAGAAAAAAAGAATCCGTTTGTTAATCGCGCTTGCAACGATTCACGTTACAGGATATCGAGCGCGGCGAGGCCCGTTTCGCAGGGGTATCCTCGGTGTCGGCGTCGACGTCGCCGTCGGTCCCGGCGTTGGCATCGGCGCCGACACCGCTGCACGAGCACAACGCCAACAGATGTGACGCGTCGAGGGCAACGTCCGGAGTGGGGCGCGTAGCGGCAGCGAACGCGCCGTCAGGTACGCACCAGGACGCTCAGCAGGCTGCACGTGCCAGCGCGAGCGCGAACGCGTCGAACGCGGCGGCACCGAGATCGGAGGGAGATCTCGACGCGAGTAGAAGCCGTTGGCGAGCGATCGGCCGGTTCCTACGACGCCTGACTTTCATTATGTTGCTGATGGCAGCCGCGTTCGGAGCAGTGGCCGCAGTAGTGATCTACATGGGCCCGATTTATCTCTTCCAGTTGCTCATCGTCATCTCCGTCGCCTACTTTGTCGCCGGCGGTCGCCTGAGATGGTTCTATGTTGCCCTTAGGACAGCCCCCCGTGACCTCAAGTGAGTCTATCGCAGAAGATTTTTGTATCCTATATCCTATATCCATTTACTGGTGACCGATTCGTTGTTATATATAAGAAATTAACGTCATCTCATTGAAAGATAAAATTCCATTCAGTGATTAACCTTATTAATTGTCTCATCGACTTAATTGTCCCGAACGATATTTTCCTCATTCGTTGAGCGAAACACGCGGTATTTCCGTGAAAAATAAATGAAAGAGCAATATATGATGTTCCGTGAGAAAAAGATTTGTTTATTTACAAACTGTAAATCGTATAAAAATTGTGTCTTTTATAATCTTCATAACTGCGTAACAATAATCGTGCACGCAACGAATCGTCGTGATTCAGATGTTGGATGCTTAAATTATCGAAGGCCACGCCACTGGAGATATGCGGGAAAAGTAAGGAAAGATAAAAACCTTCATGAAGTTTCTTCTCGCGCCACATCACTTTCGTGACATACAGAAACAGAACATTGGCGTAACTACTTACGCCACTCTCTATTCGGAGTCTCCGTAAGGTCACATGAGATATCGATATACAATACGATATGCTTATGCTATGCATTTATCAGATTGACTTTTATAGCATCTCTCTGCATACAGATTATTCCACAATTTGCATCTAAAAGCTTCACGAATTTAAACTGCAACTGTAATCCATTTAAACTGCATGAGCAACTCTGTTTTAGTTTTTATATTTTTTCTTACAAAGATGATTGAACAGGAAGCTAATTTTATTTAAAATTTTCTACTATTAAATTAAATTGGGAAATAAGGTGACGAATATTAACAATTGCCGATCATCGATTTACGCAATTCCATATCGAATGTATGTACATGCGATTACAGTTTATTTGAACACAAAGACAGAGAATCAACATATGCAAATTTCGTGAGCATGCAACAAAGAAGATAACATAAAAAATTTATTTCTTTTTTTATTCTTTAATCGTTCTTTCTCGGATTGATTTATTTATTAATTGAATTCGACAAATAAGTTTTAATATATTGTTTCCTCGTTTTGCTTATAGATTGATAAACGTTCAAGATATGATCAAAAATGTTTAATTCATACGAGAAATGTTTGCATCGTGCTAATAGAAACTTACATACAAGGTGCAACAGCTAGAGAAAAATATATATACTTATCTACGAACAATGAGTGAATTGGAAAGGTTTGAGACGCGAGTGTCTATAATTATCTATCACGCAACTACGAACAGAAGTAATTAGAAGTAATTTTATCTTATGAGTCGTGGATTTTTATTCAGTCTTCAGATATCGTGTTCCAGACGCGAGTAAAAGACATGCGCGAAAAAATATTGGTGTCGAAAGATGCTCTTCAACTTTCACCGGAAACTTAATGTACAAAGCATGTTAAAAAGCAAAACATTAAGAAACTGGCAGAGTAAATCGAAAAACGAGGACATTGGTCGAAATAAGAAAGAGCAAAAAGTTTATTTTAATTCGTCATCGTTTTCGAGTTTTAACGATACAATATTTTTTTAAATTTCACCTTTTTTTAAGGAATTTTATAAAAAGAAGACAGTTCAGAAATTGAAGCAAGAAAAATCTAATCGTACGGCATAGTTTTTGATAATCACAATCGTGTCATTACATAATTGTTCTCTCAAATAAGTCTTAAATAAAGTTATTTACGTGGCCCAAGTTTAGTCGCTGGGATGTATATAAAATAACAAGAGTTCACGTGTACATTTGCATCTTATCTCTTATATCTTTATCATTATCATATAATGTTCATGGAATCGTGAAATATTCTTAGATACACAGAATTACATCAGGATGTATATAAGGAGGAAATAAGAAGTTTTCTTTTTAAAATACTTCCGCTAAGCAAATGTTATTTGTTTGCATTCTACTTCTCCCTCATCTATAGTAATATGACTTGTATATTGTCAGTATTTTTATAGAAATACCGAGATACTCATTTTACCAAGATGTTTATTTTATATAGCAGAATTCATAAGAATTTATAACAAAAAAATTACAATGTTTCCTTCTTTTTATTTATCATGTATAACATGCTAAATAATTATGTTTGATTTATTTACAGCTATGTCGATAAAGTTTCCCTATAGATCCTTAATCTCATTGAACGTTCATTCGTTCAATGAGAACAAAGTTCGAACGTTATGAAAAAAGGGACTAAAAAATTATAGAAATAAACAATTTATATTCTAATGTGTACTTTGCTTTCGTCTCGCTCCATACGTGCGTATGTCGTGAAGATGCGAGTGAAGATATCAACAGGGAAGTGTTTGCCGCGCGTTTGGCCCTGGGATTTGGGTCTTTCGACGATATTTTTCTCATCTATGGTTGCAATCTATTACCGTGACTATGGCCATGACTGGGATGTCTGGAATCATACATTTGACCGTGGTCATGGTCATGGTCACCGCCGTGTTTGAGATCTAGATCTAGGTCATGATCAAAACCGTAGCCATCAAATTTCAATGCCTTTCGCAACCCTCAACACGAGAAATCAATGAAGGTTTATTACGAACTAGCTATATTGTCGATTCATATATCATTTTAATAAGAAAACAATGTTATCAAATGTATTTATTAGGAGATATGCTTGTGAATGCGTTACAGCATATGTGACTAACATTAAAAGATTTAAGTGTCGAAGCTAAAAGTGATTTTGAACGTATATGCTCGAAAAGTATAAAATATAAGAAGATAAATAATATAAAAAGAGGAACAGATTATTCTCCATTATATTTTATAACTTGCTAGTTTAAACTTCCGCACTGCTAAGTAAACGTCATACTCTTCTCTTGACCTCGAGAAGATATAACGGAATTTCCCGGTTGGTCATTCGTGTAATCGCCCGTACTAAATAATTATGACTACACGTGTTTGAGAGATTTATTATCGAGAAATATCAATCGAGAATTATATAATAAAATAGAACAATATATCACATAAAATAATAGTAATTATAAATGTTTTAAATTTATATTCTATTGTCGATATATCTGAATAAAATTTCCTATAAAGTAATTATTTTCAGTGGATATTGCTTTTTCATTTCAAACATTATTATACGAACATTAAGAGCCTTAAGCATAATGGGATAAATCATTTTCTTGATCATAAAGAATATATTAGTTATGGAAGTTGTTTTCCTTGAGCATCTTTTATCTTATTTCAGAGGACTTCTAGGATATGTTAGAATGCTATGGTCAGTACATTCTCATGAAAAGAAAAACAGAAATGTCGCCGATATATTTAGACAATATGTCAATCGTCATCCTAATAAAATCTGTTTGATATTCGAAGATCAAGAATGGACTTTTCAACAGGTAAAAATTTATTTTTACAGAAGGAGGATATTATTTTTATCTATAAGCCATGTTATATTCAATAAAAACAGATTTTAAATTTAACTGATATTTTCTATATTTATGACATAAATAATTTATTGCAAAATTAACGAGGCTTCATATAATCCTGAAATTGGCAGGTTTAAGAACTTGAATTAATTCTTTACTGCGCTTTTTACTCTGAGATTTTTATTGCGCTTGCGATAGTAATTTACTCGATCAATTTATTGATTATTTTAATTACATATAAATGCAATATTATATTTTTAAGAAAAGAATATGTGATGAAATCAAATTATATAAATTTTCCAAATCATTTTATCAGTATTTCTCATATAGTATATTTTACGATTCACAATTTCGATTTTAATAATTGATTTTCTAATTATTTACGTTATGTATGTAGTCTTTTTTACATATAATTTATACGCGGAAAAAAAATGATGTGTCAACAGCATCATTTTTTGTATCAACAGCGTCAGTGTTATTGAGATAAAATTTATTGATGCAACACCATCAATATTAATGAACAAAAAACATCAGATAATTATTTTAATAATTTAAATATTTGGTCTAATAATATCCAATTGAATTAATTATTTATGTTTATGGCAGCCCGTGACGTCGACGTTTAATTGAAGCAACTTTATTTTTTTTCCGTGTACGTATACTATACGTAACTGTAATTCTTTCACAGATAGAGGATTTTAGTAACAAAATCGCGACGATATTTAAAACACATGGTTACAAGAAAGGAGACACGATTGCTTTACTGTTGGAGAATCGGCCGGAATTTGTTGCAATTTGGCTAGGTTTGACCAAACTTGGTGTGATAACGGCTTTGATTAACACCAATTTGCGTAAGAGCAGTCTTGTGCATTGTATCAATATTGCAAAGTGCGAAGCGCTTATATATGGCACCGAGTTTTTTGACGGTAAGAACACTAATTAATCTGATATTTATTATTCGTTTTTTAACTTAGAATTATATGAAAAACACAGAAATCACGTTCAAATGTAGAATTAATTTTTTTCTGTTATAATTGTTACTTTTAAAATTTTTCGAATATTTCGATAACCGTTAATTTCAATAAACTGAATTTCAGCGGTGACAGATATCGTCTCATCATTGGATGCTAAATTAACGTTGTACAGATTTGGAATTCACACAAATGCAATGTCCGGATTAAAAGAAAAAGATCTGAATGCTATGCTGGTGGACACACCCGCTACACCACCGGCAGTACAAGAAAAAAGTGGTTTTCATGATAAACTTTTGTACATTTATACTAGCGGCACTACAGGTCTTCCCAAAGCAGCTGTTATCACTAATTCGAGGTAAATAGGTACACACAAGTTCTGGCTATTTTTCTCAAAAGAGAGTTTCTAACGCGTTTCAAAAAGAGTTTTGTGGTGATTGTATATCAAAAATAGGAAAACAATTGGAATATAAGATTCACATTTTCATTGCACAAAAATAATCTAATCCCAATCGAGATCAATTTGTGTCACAACACAATTCGATAGAAATCTCTTGAGGTAATATCTCAAACGTTTAAGAAAACGCTTCGAAAAGAAAGAAACGAAAAGATTTCTAAAAGATTTTTTTAGGTCACGCAAGCTTGGAAAATTTCTATCAACACAATCTATCTCCACAATTTTTGGAATCTCCAAAATTTAAAAAATATAGCGACAGTTTTCCAGAAATAAAATGAAACAAATGATATGTATCTTTTACAGATATACTTTTATCACAAGTTCAGTTGAGTTCATGGGAGTCTTGCGTAATTCTGATAGAATATATACACCATTGCCACTATATCATACAGCTGGCGGAGTGATGGCTATAGGGCTAGCTTTGGTATATGGTCATACAACAGTTATTAGGAAGAAATTTAGCGCCAGCGCGTACTTTGCTGATTGTAATAAATACAAATGCACCGTGAGTATAATTTTCTATTTGTTAAATCGATTAAATAATTTTAGATGTTATAATAATAATTTATATTAATTTGTTCCGTATAGCGTAACGCATAATATAAAATTAGTATTTCTCGTGCTTCTATTTCATGAAATGGATTGTATCGTCCTGCTTCGATTTTTGTTATTTACTAATGAAACTGAGATTGCGTGAGCGTTAGATTTATATAAAATTTTGGGAAATATTAGGTTGGTCAATACATTGGTGAAATGTGTCGGTACATTTTGGCAGTACCACCTAAAAAGGAGGATCATGAACATAGTATTAGAATGATTTTCGGCAACGGACTAAGGCCGCAGATTTGGGACGAATTTATAAAACGATTCAATATTTCACAAGTGCTCGAATTTTACGGTGCAACTGAAGGCAATTGTAATGTCAGTAAGTATTGTAAAAAATATTTAGTTTTATATTTTACTTTATATACATTCTTTATTACAATAGCCAATGTTCCGAATATTACTATTTTTATTGAAATAGTTTTCAAAAGTATAATAGAACTAACATAGGAGCGTTAAAAAATGTATATCTTTCAGTGAACATTGACAATAAAATGGGAGCAATAGGTTTCTTTTCAAGAATTATCCCATCGGTATACCCCGTTTCTCTGATTAAAGTGAATGAAGAAGGGGAACCTATACGCAATTCTAAAGGACTATGCCAAGTCTGTGAACCAAGTAAGTTGATAGAACAATATTAACTAATTGATTAATATATGTATCTGGGATTTTGACGAAAATTTATGTCCACATAAATATATATAATTGATATTTTTGTCGTTCGTGCTAAAACCCATAATACTGTATAAAAATTTTAATAAATGAGATTACAAAAGAGCGCACGAAGTGAATTTTATTAGAATATAAGAGTAATGATTTTCTCTTATGACAAGAAGTTTATTGATCAATATTAATGTTTGCATTATTTTTTTCTGGTGTTCTACGTACGTCATAACTTAATCGTTCTGACTTTTATTTAATAGATGAACCTGGTGCATTTATTGGAAAGATCTCACCAAACAACCCAACGAGAGCATTTTTAGGATATGTAGATAAAAAAGCATCTGAGAAGAAAGTAATTTACGACATTTTCACAAAAGGCGACTCTGCCTTTCTATCAGGTAAAATTTGATATTTATTATTCATTAAATAAAAACAAATTTGGACATATATATTTCCATTAACTTAGATATTTATTTATTAACAAAGGAAGAAAGTAATTCGTAAATTTCTTTATGGGCTCAATTGTATCTATTATAACACAAAATTGTATTTATCAGAACTCAGACATATTTGTGAATTTGATTATAATTATTTAGGGGACATTCTTGTTGCTGACGAATTAGGATACCTATATTTTAAGGACAGAACGGGAGATACGTTTAGATGGAAAGGAGAAAATGTATCGACTTCTGAGATTGAAGGCATAGTCAGTAATCTCATCAGTTATCGAGATTGTATAGTATACGGCGTGGAGGTAATAATAACTTTTACTATTCTTTTTTGAATAATTTTATGTAAGAAATATAAATTGTATATTTTTATAATGATAAACTGACATATTGATATAATTTTCGATAAATTGAATAAAAATTGCAATATTATGTTTAAGCATGATTTAATAACATTAAGATGAGAATGATTATCGACAGATTCAAAGTGCTGAAGGCAGAGCAGGAATGGCAGCAATTTATGATCCAGACGGGACATTGGATTTAAATAAATTAACAGTCGACATCAAAGAACAATTACCTCCTTATGCCAGGCCGCAATTTGTTAGGATTCTGACGAAAATTGATCTCACAGGTATTTGTTTATGTATAAATATCTTGAAACTGTTAAAGTTTATAAACTGCGAAGTTTAATCAACGAGATTACGATCTTGTTTGAGAAGACATGCTTATAAAATCAGTATTAGATATGAGCATTATATATTCTTATAAAATAAGTTAAATATTAAGGAATTGAAGAAAAGCAAAATTACGAAGTATGTCTGATTTTGTTTGCACTAACTTTCGAAATACATGAAGAAAATACGTTAATATATTAAATTAGGTCAGATAGAATAAATGCTAAATATTCTGTTTACAGGAACATTCAAATTGAAAAAGAAAGATCTCCAGGAAGAAGGATACAATCCGTACAAGGTTCAAGACAAAATATATTACTTAGACCCGAAGCTTGGTTATCAGTTATTAACGTCAGAAGTTTACGATCAAATTCTACAAGGAAAAGTCAAGTTTTAAATATGTTATCTGGAAAAAAATGCAAACTATGGCAATAGTTAATATTTTACAAAGTGATTAAGCAGAATTACATGGCATTGGCGCATTTCAGTGGATTGCAACTTACAATTAGTTGTATCTGTACCAAGCTTTTGCTCTATGTGCTGAGCCTGCAGACAGTATGGTGACAATATATTCATAGAACTTTTGAAGGGATCTATTAAACGATATGACAACAGGTGGTTGTTAATGTAAAATGTAATATAAAAAAGTAGATATTGTATAATCTGGATATAGCTAAAAACTGTTAAAACTGTTTATTCAAATAGATCTCCCTTGAATGTGTAATTAGTAGTTAACAAAATATTTTTGTTTCACTTATGCTCTACATTTTTAAATATCACTTTTAATTTTTTCTTACTGTTTCAACACAGTGTTTTTTAATGTTTCATGTTTATTTCATCATTTGGTTATATCCAGATCATAATGTTTCTAATTTTATGCGATTCATGTTAATATTTGTATTGTTTTATAAAAAAAACTGTTGAAAATATAATAAATTTTTATATTACAAACGATTGTTTGTTTATTTATGCCAAAAAGTTTGCAAGAACTATATAATAAATAAAGAGTTTTAATTTTATTTAATCTGGTACGTATTAGTATCGAGGAAAAGGTATAAGCAATATTTTTAAAGGCCGTTATACATAATACATATAT